ACTAGATGTATATGTTTAAGGGCCGGAGCGATAGTCCATGGCTGACCCATGAGATCCCTGGCACCCCAGGAGTGATCCCTGAGCACAAAGCAGGAATAAGCCCTGAGGACAACCAGGTATGGTCCCAAACAAAACAAAAAAGTATATATTTAATTGAGGTGGTTAAACCATTTACTTTAAATGTGCTTTTAATATGAATGGATTTAAACCTAATATGGTATTATTTTCTCTTTGTTTCCTCATTTCCCCCTCCCCCTTTTTTCATGGAATAACTTGATTTGGGGGATTTTTTTTTTCATTCTACCTTTAGATTAACTTGATTTGGGGACAGCTAGTGCTAATCCATACCAATCTATGCCAATTGGTGCCAGCCTGGGACTATCCATGCAAACCTATGCCTGCTGGTGCCAGTCCATACAGTTTCAAGCTAGTCTTGTCAGACATGCCAATCTGTGCCATCTGGTGCCAGGTCATGCCAGTAAATGCCAAGCTATTTGATTTGTGCCAGTCCAACGCTGCTCTCCTGCCAAACTATGTCAATCAACATCAACACGTGCCAGGCCAAACTTTGTCATTTCTGCCAGTCCATGCAAGCCTATGCTACCAGTGCCAGTCCAGGCCAACCTATGCCAGTGCACTTATTCTATGCTAACCTTCCCAGATGATGCCAAATTTGCCTGTTAGCATTAGTCCATATGCCTGTCAGTGCCCACCAATGCCAGTCTATATCACCTGTACCAGTTTATGATTACCTGTTCCAGTCTGTGTCAATATGTCCTAACCTGTGCCAAGTACACACCAACATATGTCAAACCCTGCGAGTGTGCCCATCAATGCTTTTCAGAACCAACTTGCACCAATTGATGCCAGATTGTGTCAACCTGTGTCAAGTGATATCAGTTGTGCCAACCTTCACCAGTCAGTGCCAATCAGTGGCAGTCTGTGTCAACCTGTAGAAGTTGGGACCAATGCATTCAGTTTTGCCAGCTTATGCTAACCTGTACCATCTATGATCATCTGCACCAACATGTGTCATCTATTCCAACTCTTGTCAGTACTCGTCTACGTCAACCTTTCCAATCACTATTTGTGCCCACTGATGACAGCCAATGCCAACATTTGCCAGTGTCAGACCCCTGCCCATCCATGCCAACCCATGCTAACCTATGCTGGTTGGTGCCAACCTGTGCCTATCTGTTCCAGTCAGTGCTAACCCATGCCAACCAGTGTCACTAGCCTGTGCCAGTGTCAAATTGGTGCCAGCCAGTGACAGCCTTGCCAGTCGGCATCACCCATCCCATCTTGTGCCAACCCTTGCAAGGCTCTGCCAGTCCATTTCAGCTGGTGCCAACCCAAGAAGAAGGATTCAGGACTTGAGAGTTTTTAGGGTGTTACTGCTTGGTAGATAAAGAAGATGAAGCCAAATTAGACGAGTGTATTTTCAGTCAAACTTTGCCCACCTGTTTCTGTTCCTGGACCAAGTCCAGCAAATCCCTGTCTTTGGGCTATGTAAGCTTGGTCCCCTCCTCTAACTAAGGACGTTTGCCTATGTTCAGATTACAACACAAAACCCACTTCTCAAACCTGCCTTCCCCGCAACCTTAAAACAGTCTTGCATGCTCCCCCTGTCAGATATTCCTGGCAGCACTTTCTCATTCAGCTTTTACCCAGCATTTTTTTTGGTCTGTTTTGGGGTCACACCCAGCAATACGCAGAGGCTACTCCTGGCTCTACACTCAGGAATTACTCCTGGCGGTGCCCGGGGGACCAATATGGGATACTAGGGATCAAACCCAGGTCAGTCACATGCAAGGCAGACGCCCTCTGCGCTGTCACTCTGGCCCTCCCAGCACTTTTCATTATCATCTTCTTTTCTGGTTTCCTCTAGAATGGGGTGAGATGCTATTTGGGGGTCGGGGGGGCAGAAATGGGGAGGTGTGGAGTATATATTACCTTGTCTACATTCCGGCGGAGAGAAGCAAACAGAGAGTCCTGTGTCAGTACCCAGTTAAGAGAGATGTACAGCCGGCCCTTGATGGGTGTGTCACCTGGAGCTTCTTGGAATGCAGTCACGGGACCCTTACCCCATGTAGGATGAACAGAACCTGGCTTTAATTTGGTCTCTAGGTGATGTTTCCTCATTAAAGTAACAGTGATGATAATATGTAACCTAAATTTAACTGGGGTTGGGGGAGAGGCGCTCACAATGATCCTTAGGGAAGACTGGGAGGGTAAAGAAATGGGCATGAGGGGCTGGAGAGATAGCACAGCGGGTACGATGTTTGCCTTACACGCGGCCGACCCGGGTTTGATTCCCAGCATCCCATATGGTCCCCTGAGCACCGCCAGGAGTAACTCCTGAGTGCAGAGCCGGGAGTAACCCCTGTGCATCGCCAGGTGTCACCCAAAAAGAAAAAAAAAATGGGCATAACACAGAGACTTCAAGGAACACGGTTGGAATTTTATTTGGTTTTGCAGGACTCAGGGATTACTCCTTGCTCTGTTCATGGGTCACTCCTGGGGGCGCTTTATACAGTGCTGGGGTCAAATCAGGGTGAGACACATGGAAGGCCTTACTCCCAGGCATCTTCTGAGCCCCACTGTATTTTTTTTAATCAGGCACAACAATTAAATGACTGTGAAATAATAAATATGAAACATTGAGGAAGTTGTTGACGCTTACTGTAGCACAGAGTCCCTTTCCCCTGCGAGAGCCTAAGGCTGGGAATCAGGACAGTGCTCTCCTGCTCTGTCATTGTCACCGTTCACCAGGAACGGAATCATAGAGTTGAACTGAAACTTGGTTTAGATACCGCTTACTTAGAATTTTTTTTTTTATGGTGCCAGGAATTGCACCCAGAGCCTCAATCTGACAGGAGAGTGCTCCACTGCTCAGCTACATCCCCTAGATGCAGCTGATTTTAGCAGCAGTGTCTCCTAGCTATAGAAATAAAGCTTGCCCTCTGATTGGGCGCAGGTTTCTGAGCTCTGTACTCTGCATTTGTAAACTCCAAAGGACCGCCCCCTTCTTTCTCATATCACAGGCAGTATGTAGCATCAGGTAAGTATTCAAGAGTTTTTTTATTTTTTGTTTTTTTGGTTTTTGGGTCACACCCAGAGATGCTCATGGGTTACTGCTGGCTCTGCACTCAGGAATTACTCCTGACTGTACAAGGAGGGACCATATAGGATGCCGGGGATCGAACACGGGTTGGCTGTGGTCAAGACAAACGCCCTCCCTGCTGTACTATCATTCTGGGCCCAAGTATTCAAGAGCTTTTTACAAATTATAATTATTACTTTAATTATATTTGAATTAAATAATTATAATATTTAAAATATTATAATATAATTATAATATTTCGGTTCCAGATTTTATTATTCAGGTTGGGACTTCTAAAAATTTCTTTCTCCATCAAGTAAGAGTAGGCTAAATTCTCTCTAAATCAATAGAAAGGAAAATTTGGAGAAATTGCTGTTGTAACTGGTAATTAAAACGATCACTTGTCATTAAACCACTTACATCTTTATAGCAAGCTATCAGCAAATGGGCTTAATCAACATAAAAATTCAATAGAGGGGCTGGAGCAATAGCACAGCGGGTAGGGCGTTTGCCTTGCATGCGGCCGACCCGGGTTCGATTCCCAGCATCCCATATGGTCCCCTGAGCACCGCCAGGAGTAATTCCTGAGTGCAGATCCAGGAGTAACCCCTGTGTGCATCGCTGGGTGTGACCCAAAAAGAAAAAAAATTCAAAAGAAATCCTATTCACTGAACCTTTGAAGAAATACTCATAGGGCAATAGGAAAATTTAGGAGCGACTTCTGCCCATAATATCTCTTAGTGATGGAATGAAGCAAACAACAGATTTTCTAGAAAAGGAAATGAGTGGATTGCTAGCAGATCTGCTCTTGGAGAAAATGAGATCATCGAAGCAGGCTGAACAAATAGGAAAGAAAAGTTCTTTCCACCTTCGGACAGGAATTCGCAGAGCTCCTAGGTTGAGGGCTGGAGGACAGTGGGTAACATTCTTGTTTTTTTTTTGGCTTTTTGGGTCACATCCGGCATTGCACAGGGGTTACTCCCGACTCTGTATTCAGGTATCACGCTGGCAGTGCTCAGGGGACCAAATGGGACGCTGGGAATCAACCCAGGCCGAGCCAGCCCCATTCTGATCCCGCGTACAGCTGGTAAGGCTTCCATCCCCTGCACCACACGATTCCTTGAGTTCCTCCAGGATATTTATTTCTACTTTGTTAAGAAAACAATCCCAATCCTTGCTCTTGGCTGGTTTGTAGCCCTGTTTATCTTATCAACCGGTTTTCCTTTCTTTCTTTTTTTCTTCTATTTTTGGGTTTTGGGCCATATCTGGAGATGCGAAGGAGTCACTCCCGGCAGTGCTCAGGGAACCATATAGGTCACTACTGGCTCTACACTCAGGAATTACTCCTGTCCGAGCACAGGGGACCATATGGGTCACGCCTGGCGGTGCACAGTTCAGGGTTTACTCCTGGCCCAGCACTCAGAGTCACTCCGGGCGGTGCTCCGGGGACCAGATGGGTCATTCCTGGCCCTGCACTTTGAGTCACTTCCGGTGGTGCCCCGGGGACCAGCTGGGTCACTCTGGGCCCTGCATTCAGGAGTCACTCCCAGCGGTGCTCCGGGGACCACCTGGGTCATTCCTGGCCCTGCACTGAGAGTCACTCCCGGCGGTGCTCCGGCGACCGCATGGGACTCCGGGAAGGGCCCTGCCCGCGGCTCCACCTCTCCGGCCCCTGCCCACCGTTGTCGGCGACGCCTGCTTTAACCCCCTCATTGCTCGGTATCCTCCGCCTAGGGAGACGCGTGCCCCCGACCGACCGCGGTGACCGGGGGGCTCGTTCCCGTCCCCTTCGCGGTCCCGGGCCCTCGGCGCCCGCGAGGCGGCCCTGCCCGGCGCTGCCCGCGGCCCCGCCCCGCCGCGCGCGGCTCCGCCCCGGCCCGGGCCCGGCACCCGCCGCCTTCCCAGCGGCCCCGGGCGGCCCGGGCATGCCCAGTGCGGGCGGTGCGGCCCCGGCCCTGGCAGCGCCGGGCGCGAGGGGCGCGCAGGAGGCGAGCGGGCCCGCGGGGGGCCTCGGGCCGGGCCGGAGCCGAGCGGCCGGGTAGGTGCGCGCGGCGGGGCGCGGGCTCGCGGGGGGCCGGGCCGGGGGGTCGCGCCCGGGGTCGCGCCCGGGGTCGTGCCCGGCTGCGCCGCGGCCCCCGGGCTCGGACGGGGGCACCGGCCGCGGCGCAGAGACCCGGGGGTGCGGCTCCAGGCCGTCGCCGGGGCTCCCTCCGGGAGGAGACGAAAGGGTCGCTCATCGCCGCTGCTCCCGGTGTCCAGTGGTCGCCCCGCAGGGTAGCAGGGAGGAGTGGGCATGGGGGGGGGGGTGTCAGAGTCTCTTTGGAGCCTCGCGGCCGTGGGGGCCCCGGGTCCGAGACGTGCGGGTGGGAAGCACGGAGGCAGCAGGAGCCCTCTGTGCCGAACCGGACTCCAGGACAGTCCCACCTGGCGGGGAGGGAGGGGGTTTGAAGTTCTCTGGAACCGTCGCCGGGCTGGACCCTGGGGCCAGGCACATAACACATACATAATCCGGGGGTCTCAAATTGTGGTAGGTCGCTCTTCTCCGCGCCCAGCTTTTTTTTTTTTTTTTGTCCAGCTGGGTCACCCCTAGATGTGCCCGCGGGAAGCCGCGGGGCTCCCCGGGTAAAACGTCCTTGCAAGGTCGCGCCAGGGCTGTAGGTGAGCGACTGGCGCGCACAGAGCCAGGTGGTAGGGGCCAAGGTTCAGATAACGGCCCCCCCCTCCCCCCGGGCTGGCAGGAGCCCTCCCAGCACATCCCTGCTGTGGTGGGGCAGTGCCCCTGGAGAGGGGTGGTTTGAGTCGCATGTCACTGCCCTTACAGCTGGAAAACAGCAAAAAAGATCAGCGCGGAAGTTTTCAAAGAAACACAGTTTGTAGTAGCCGAGGCAGTGAACCCTCCAGGCTGCAGGCACTGGCCTATTAGATTCCACCTCTTGCTCATCCCCTGGCCCCGCGGCGCTGCCCATCACGGGGCCGGGCTTTTGTGTTGGTGGAAGTCTGGACCAAGTTTCCTGTCTCTGCTCGCACTGCTCCTCCTGGAGCCTCGGGAGCTACCTGTGGGGGTTGTGCAAGTCGCCACCTGCTGCTGAGCCAGCCCTGCCCACCAGCTCCGGTGGCCCCAGGCCAGCTGGGTCAGTAAGGTTTACTTTGTCTGAGTGGTTATAGGTCAGGTGGAAGGGTGCTTCGGTTTTGTAATGGTTGGTTTGTAGGTCGAAGCTGCTGCTGAAGTTCTGCTGAGCTCTGAGAAGTAAGGGCCCCCTAAAGTCAGAATGCCCTCCAGTCACTTGCGCTGGGAAGAACTTTCGAATCGCGGGTTCTTGATATGATTTCTAAAAACTTGGCTTTTTCCCTTCCCCTGAATGACATTTGGAAGCCAGGTGTGTGAGTCTAGTGGTAGGGTACCTGCCTAGCAGGGGTGAGATTCGAAGTTCCAGCCTCCAGCCCCGCTGGGATATCCTGTTTGAAGAGAGACATTAGGGGCCCGAGAGATGGCATAGGTGCTTGCCTCACATGTGGCAGACCCCTGTCCAATTCCCTGCACCAAAAGTGGTCTCCCGCCGCTGCCAGGAGTGATCCCTGGATACAGAGCCAGGCATAAGCCCTAGGCCCTACCGGGGGTGCCCAAGACCCCCCCCCCACATAGCCCCTTCCCTTAAAAGACATGGAATATCAGCATGAATGTTCCAAAGTGGGAGAATAAGACACCTCAACTTTTACGTTCTTTTCACCTCATTTACTTGAGGAATACATGAAAAGGGACTGCTGTGGCGTCTCAAAGACCATTTACACATGCTGCCTTTTCTGGATCTAGTTTGAAAGCCCCCAGTTTCTTACTGAAATTGACCACGTGTACATGTGTGTCTTTATAGTTGGAAACCTCATCTTTGAGTCCCAAGGGAGTCGGGGTGGGGTCTTTTTCCTTTGTTTTTTGGTCACACCCAGCAGTACTCGGGTTATTCCTGGCTCTACTCCCAGGACTTACTGCTGGCGGGGATCCGGGAATCATATGGGTTGCCAGGGATCACACCTGTCAGAATGTGTAAGGCAAGCACCCTACACAGTGGACTATCTCTTCGGCCCCTTGGGCAGCTTCACACCTAGTCCTCAGCTTCCCTGCATGCCTGAGAACCTTGGGTCTGAAGATTGTTGGAACTTTCATCTTGGCGTTGTGCTTGAGTGTTTGACATTATACAGTAAGCATGACTATCTAAGAGGCCATTGTAAGAGTTATCGCCCCCTTTTTTTTTTCCTTTTTGGGCCACACCCAATGATGCACAGGGGTTCCTCCTGGCTCTTCACTCAGGAATTATTCCTGGCGGTGCTTAGGGGACTATATGGGATGCTGGGAATCAAACCCGGGTCGGCCACATGCAAGGCAAACGCCCTACCTGCTGTGCTATCGCTCCAGCCCCTTTAGTGCCCCTTTCTACATCCTCCAGAGGACTTGGAATGTGTCGGAGGGACGCTGGGGACACTGGGAGTGTGTTTCCTGCAGGGGAATATGAAAGGGCAGCAGTGGTGACCATCAGGAGGCCTCGGCAGCTGTGGGTAGAGCCTTCCTGTCGCTGTCTGTGATGGGATCAGCCCCGGCCCGTTCACTCACGGAAGCCAGGAAGCCCAGGAAAACTGGCGTCACGTGAAGAGGCACAGAAGGCGGCTCAGCTGTGAGATAAGCATCCCCCCTCCCCCTGCTGCTCCCGTGTCCAGGTCCCTCATGATGCAAGGTTTCAGGACGCCCTTGTCTCCTCTGCGTGGCTGGTAGCTCGGACGGTGAAGAGATGGCGGACAGTGTCAAGACCTTTCTCCACGACCTCGCCAGGGTGAGTGCTGCCTTGGGTCTTCTGCCCTCTCTTTGCTACGGGGATTGATGAAGGCATCCTTCCTTTCTTTTCTTTTTTCTTTTCTTTTCTTTTCTTTTCTTTTCTTTTCTTTTCCTTTCGGGTCATACCCAGCAGTGCTCAGGGGTTACTCCTGGCTCTGCACTCAGGAATTACTCCTGGCAGTGCTCGGGGGCCATATGGGATGCTGGGAATCGAACCCAGGTTGACTGCGTGCAAGGCAAACATTCTACCTGCTGTGCCCTCACTCCAGCCCTGATGAGGGCATCCTTTCCGTGTTTTGGGGATGGTGGTTGTTTCTTCTGTGTTTTGCTTTCTTTTAAGTTTGTGCCTGTTTGCTGCGCCCTGCATGCCAGGTTTCTGTTCTGCCCTGCACTGCTCAAGAGACATGTTTTGATATGTTGGCGAAGTTCGGGAGTTGTGTCTAGGGAGAGTTTTTAGTGTTGGAGCTCTGCTTGGCTTGGCTCTGGAGCCTTTATTTATTTACTTTTCTAACTTTGTTTTGGAACAATGATAAGGTGGAGCAAAGTTGCATGTTAATAAGAGACCTTGTTCCCCTAAGGCTGGCATCTTATATTCCCTTGTCTGATGCGCCTAATGAAACAAGGAACGATTACTTAAACTGCTTTATCCATATAGATCCTAGGCTTTCTCCCCTCCACCTTGCCAATGCATAGGGTGTAGTTGATGGTCTAGAAAAAAATCCCATCAAGATCTGTTTAGGATCTAATCACCCAAGTTACTGTAGCACAAAATTCCACTATTGCTGGCCTGGGCAGGTAGGGGCCTCCGCCTTGCACGCTGACAACCTGGGTTTGATCTTCTGACACTGGTGAGTTGGATGCAGTCCCTGATCTGTGATCTCTGAGCTCCCTGAGTTATGCAGAGAGGGGTGTAAGCCCTGAGCACTGCAGGGTGTGACCCGCAAACAAACAGAAGCCCATTGTCCTGGTGATCTGAGAGCGAATGTTCTGGTGGCAGCCCCAGCACCTGTGTTTCAGGAGCAGGAGAGGAGCAGCCCAAGCTGAGGAAGGTGGGTCTTGGGAATGCTGAAAGTTGGTGACCTTTGAGCAGAAGGAGGTGAAGGGGTGTCTCACAAGAGCGAGGCAACTTCACGCAAGGTGCCATGTGACCGGCCCTTAATACCTTCACCCGTTGTCTGGCTCTTCCTGTCTGTGAAATGAGCCTGGATCAGTTCTTTTTTTTTTATTCTCCTTCCCTTTGTTTGTTTCTGTTGTTTATTTTAGTTTGTTATGGGCTACACACGAGTTGCTCTTAATAATGAATCCTGGTAGTGCTCAGGGGACCATATGGGGCTGCCGTGATTAAACTTGGGTTGGCCACATCCAAGGCAAATGCCCTACCCACTGTACGATCTCTCCAGTCCCTGGTGGTGGTGGTGGTTGGACCTTTGGGCGACACTGGTGGTGCTCAGGGACTGCTCCTGGCTCTGTGCTCAGCAGTCTTTCCTGTTGATGCATGGGGGATCATGTGGGGTCCGGGGATCAGGCCCAGGCCCCCCACATGCAGCACCTGCACTTAGCCTGCCGAGCTGGTGCTCAGTCCCATGGCACCTGCTGTGGAAGTTGCTGGGGTGTCCATGGGTCTAAACCCGGCTGAGGTGCTGTTGTGCTTGGCCACGCTACTCCTGCGGCGTGAGCATTCCTCTGGGAGGTGGGCTGCTCACGGTTTGGGGGTGAGGTTGTGTGGTGAGGTTGTACTGTGTGTCCTGGCGCAGTGCTTCCTGGCTGCAGGCCTTGCACGCCTTTTTAGTTGTGGCGTTCACTGGTAGACACACCCCTCTCTGGGGTGCAGCTGGACGTCCCCGGCAGTGCTGGGGATCACTTAGACAGCAGAGCTGCCTGGACCAGGCTGAGCGCATGTGGGACTCGGGCTGTGAGCAGGTGGCTTGCATGCAGGGGAGCGTTCTAGGCCCCCGTAACCATTCTGCAGTGGGCTGCTTCCAGGTCCGGCCAGACTGGAAGTAAGAAGTAGCGCTTCCGCCGTCATCCTTGCATTCCCGAGGCCCTCCGCCGTTTTAACTTGACTCACTTCAAGTATTCACACAATTTGTGGGCGACTTGGAAATTTAAAGCAAAACCAGAAATTACTCGAAGACAAGGATCCCCATCAGTAGTTCTTATGGGATTTTGGCTATTGTTTTGTACCTGGCCATTTGCCATGTAGCTAATATTCTCATTGTCTTGTTTTTGGAGCCACACCCAGTGGTGCTCAGGGTCAGGGGCGGTTCCTTGGTTCCTTGCTCCTGGGGGGGGTGGGGGTGAGAGCTGCCAGGGAGGGTGGGGGCGGGGTGGTCATAGAGTGCTGGGGATGGAGCCGGGCTTTGCTGCTTGCAGTGCAGACGACTGGAGGGTTTCTCCAGCCAGTCACCTGCGGCTTTGAGGTGTCTTTTTTTTTTTTTTGTCCGTCTTTATGTGTATGCTAGTGCCACCACCCCAACTTTGCAAATCAATCTGTTGTCACTTATTGACCCAGAGTTTCTGTGGCCTCCCACATCCTTTCCCCCGAGGAGTTACGTTTCTGGAGTATCTCCGTCCAACCTGTCTTGTCTCGTCTGTAGGAGCTGCTCGGGGTGTGGGTGGATGAGTGAGTGCAGTTCCCCGAATTGGGCGAGAGGCACTTGTCATTCCTGCCGCCGCCTGTGCCCTGTTGCACCCTTCAGTGTGGCTGGCAAGTGCCCGGCCATTGTCTTGACGGGCTGACCTGCCTCTTCCCTAGCGCGCACTCTCAGGACAGTGTTCTCCAGCTCTCCCCTGCGAGCTTCGATTCTGCAGCATTTCACTCCATACAATATCACCTCTCGGCGTCTCTCTCCAACTTGGTCTAGCCCTGGTCCTTCTTGGAATGAGTGTTGAGTGTCTCTTTGCATTAGACAGTCTAGGAAGCAGCGTCCTGTAGGGATCTGTTTTTTTTTTTTGGTGGGGGGGGGGGTTACTCCCGACGATTTCCAGGAATTACTCCTGGCTCTGCACTCAGGAATTACTTCTGATGGTGCTCAGGGTGACGATGCTCAGGGGGACCATATGGGGATGCTGGGAACTGAACCCGGGTCAGCCGCATGCTAGGCAAACACCCTACCCACTACGCTATAGCTCCAGTCCCAGGGATCTGGTTTTTGAAGGAGCATAAGGAGAACAGACAGTAAATTTGGTTTCTGCCGCCCGAGTGAGGATGATACATGTCTCATCTGTGTGTCTCTCCCATTGGTCTCCCAAGAGTCCTCCATGCCAGCGCAAGCGGACGGAACCCGCTGTGCAGATCCGGCCTCGGAGATCCTGGCTGGCACTTTCTGGGTAGTTGCAAGGAGGACTTCGTGCAGGCCTGCAGCGGTCTCTGACAACAGGATCCTGCAGCCAGAGGCGGTTGTGATGCTGGGCTGACTGGCTGAATACGAAGGGACGAGTTGAGACGAGGGGTGGCAGTGGAGCCTGGGCTGGTGCTGAGAACAGTTCAGTGTCTCTTCGCTTGGTGGCTATCTTGCAGTTATATAGACGGGAGCAGAAGGGAACGTCATTGTTCTTAATAAATGTCAGGTTAGAGCCATAGCACAGCAGGGAGGGCATTTGCCTTGCAAGCGGCTGACCCGGGTTTGATTCCCAGCATCCCATATGGTCCCCCGAGCACCGCCAGGAGTAATTCCTGAGTGCAGAGCCAGGAGTAACCCCTGAGCATCGCTGGGTGTGACCCAAAAAGAAAAAAAAAAAAGTAAATGTCACTGGAGAATTTACCGTTGCAGGTCCCAAGGGAGCAGGCCACTCCGAAGGTACAGGAAAAATGTAGATAGACCTGTAAGAAAATGACAATGGTGCTAGTGAAGTGTGGGTCTGTGGAGTCAGAACAGAGGGTATTCAGAAGTTCTCTGTTCTTGAAACTTTCCTGTACTTTGAGAATTACTTCAAAATAAAAATGGGGGCTGGGGAGGTGAGTCAGAGGGCCGGAGCATGTGCTATACGTGTGGGGGGCCCAGGTGTGATCCCCAGCACCACGTGGTTCCCTGAACATTGCTGGGTGTGGCCCCCAAACTAGCAGCAAACCGAAGAAACAAGGTTCCTTTAAGCTGCATGGCCCCCAAAGCACAGCAACTTCCGGTATTACTTCATGCTGTATTGAACTGGGGGAGAGTTTTTTCTCTGGGTCTTTAATCCCCCACTTTAAAAATTACGCACTTACCAGGGCTGGAGCGATAGTACGGGAGGGGGGGGGTCGGGGGGAGGGCGTTTGCCTTGCATGTGGCCGACCCAGCTTCAATCCCCGCCTGGCATCCCATATGGTCCCCCGAGAATGGCCAGGAGTCATTACTGAGTGCAGAGCCAGAAGTAAGCCCAAGCATCGGCTGGGTGTGACCCAAAAAGCCAACAAAACAAAACAAAACAAAACAATGCCCTTCTCTACAGGGGATCAAAGATTCCATCTGGGGAATATGCACCATCTCCAATCTGGATGCTCGGATTCAGCAGAAGAGAGAGGAGCAGCGTCGGCGGAGGGCGAGCAGTGCCCTGGCACAGAGGAGAGCACAGAGCACAGAGAGGAAGCAGGAGAGGTAAGGGGAGGGGCGATCGCAGTGAGGGTGAGGGGGGCATGGGGTTGATGGGCCCGGGGGGGGGGCAGTTCACGGGAGCCACTCTTAGTGAAGACCCTATAGCATCAGTGACTCATTTTTCTTTTGCTCCAAAGATAAAAATGTCATAGGTAGTTCCTGTGCCAAAGCCCCCCCCCACCCCATAATAAATTAAATGAAGGTCTAGAGGTAATTCTTGCACAGGATCTCGTGATACTTCGGTCAGATGGATGAAAAGAGAATCTCAAAAGAAATTATTTGCATGAATGGATATGTCTTGGAAAGCTCATGTGGATTTATCATTTAGGCATCATTTTTAAACTTCTAATATTGAAATATAGATAGTAAATATTTTTACATACTTGGGGGTCACCTACATCCCTGCTGGGGATATGTAATTAGTTCTATTTACTTTATGGGGTTCTCTCTTCCTCTCTTATTTCCAAAAGCTCTTTTGCTTCACAAATATATACATATATATATATATATACACATATATATGTATATGTATACATGTATATCTATGTATAATTTTACTTTTATAAAAATTTTCTCTAGAAATATGTTTAGCCTTTTTTGGGCTGACAGTGAGAGAATAACAGTAGCTGGAAAGATAGTATGCCGTCAGTAAAAGATATAAAAACAAGACGAGAGAGAGATGGCGGGGCTGTGATGTTTTCTTGCACTCAGCAGACCCCAGTTTGGTCCCAGTGCTACATGTGGTCCCCTGACCACCACTGGGAGTGAGCTCAGAGCACAAAACCCAGAGTAAGCCCTGTGCACTGCTGAGTGTGACCCCCTCCAGAGCAAAATAAGACAAAACCACAGCACGCAATGACATCTGGGATGGTCTGTCTACCTGTCTAAATGTGTGCGGTCTTTTCCAGTGAGCCAAGAATCGTCAGCAGAATTTTCCAGTGCTGCGCTTGGAATGGTGGTGTGTTCTGGGTAAGTCCCTTTCCTGCGAATTCTAGGTGCCCTCTGCCTGAATTGTTACTCTGTTCGTAGTTTTTAGCTGTTTTCTCAAAATGTCGGCAAGTAGCTCTCACTTGTTGCTCTATCTCTGAAACCACAATTTACACCCAGGCTGTGATTTTATTCCCACTAAACGAACATATGTATGTTGGGGATGGGTCTGAAGATACACTTTTGTTTCCCAGAGAGTCAACAACAAGCTTAAATGAGACTTAAGCGCTCTGTGCGGCCAGTCAAGTGTTTCCTTCAACTTGGAAATCTAAGCATTTCCTCGATGTTTTCAGACGTTAGCTTTGTTAGTGATTCCCTGTATCTCAGCCTCTGAATTCTTTGAGGTTGGTTTCTCTGTCCCTAAAGTTGCACCATTCCTGTCAAGCGGATGAGATCTGTCCTTCCCACCTGGTGCACTGGAAGGTAGCTCCGGGTCCTGTTTGGGTGCCTCCTTGGGTTTTCCTAATGTGTGAGAGGCCCCTTCCTCTGTAACTCAGAACTGTGTTTTAAAGGCGGACTCTAATGTTCGTGTGTTGCTTCCTCCCTTTAGTTCAGTCTCCTCCTGTTCTACCGTGTCTTCATTCCTGTGCTTCAGTCCGTAACGGCGCAGATTATCGGTAGGTACCACATGGCTCTGTGGGGTTCGCCTGCTATGGAGGTGGGATGTATAGGTGCCGGGCTGCAGGGGTGGTCTAATACTTCTCCATCCCAAGACTCAAACCTCCCGATCCTTTGAGAGGACCTTGTGTGTATATATATATATATATGTATATATATATATATATATATATATATACATATTTGGCTTTTTTGGACCACATCTGGCAGTGCTCAGGGCTTACTCCTGGCTCTGCACTCAGGAATTAGTCCTGGCGGTACTTGGGGGACCTTATGGGATGCCAGGGACCGAACCCAGGTCCGTGGTGTACAAAGCAAACGCCCTCCCCACTGTACTATTGCTCCAGCCCTTATTTATTTATTTATGGCTGAGGAAATGGAAGTGAGTTCCTGAGGTGAAACCAGTGGTGGCAGCCAGGTGGCTTCCTGCAGATGGTCCCTGTGCCGTTGCTTGTGATGTCTCTCTCAGTCACTGCTCCCTCGGCTGGTCTGTCTGAGAGATGGCTCTCCTGAGTTGGCACCAGGGCCAGTACACAGGCGTGTCCGCAGAGGGAAGCATGAGTTGCAGTAAGGGACGTGCCAGCTAGGAACAGAAGTTGTCAGTGTGGCAGGCAGTGGTGAGCGCCTCCCAGGGGCAGGATGTGTTGCAGTCTCTCTCCCGTCCAACTGGTTCCTCTCTCTTTCCCCCACTCTCAGGTGACCCGTCTCTCCATGGAGACGTTTGGTCGTGGCTGGAATTCTTCCTCACGTCGATTTTCAGCGCTCTCTGGGTGCTCCCGCTGTTTGTGCTCAGCAAAGTCGTGAATGCGATTTGGTTCCAAGTAGGTCCAGGGCAGGGGGAGCCTGGGTCCAACTGTATGGTGGCTGGGCGGGTGGCCCGGAGCAGCCCCAGCCCACGGTGGCCACGGAGGGGCCATCTCGCAACCTTGACCTGTGTGGGCCAAGTGAGAAGCCCGTGGGCAGTCTTTGCTCCTGTAGAATGGAGCTATTGTTCCCGGTCACTGGGGCATCCCGGGTCCGTCTTGCTTGGCATCTCGGTGACCTCAGCTGGCATCAAGTGGCAGATGAGTGACCTTAGATGGGGGGATGGAGGATGGGGTTGAGGTGATTAACTTCCTGCTTCCCTAAGCACTGTTGCTCTGCTCCAGGACATCGCCGATCTGGCGTTTGAGGTGTCAGGGAGGAAGCCACACCCCTTCCCCAGCGTCAGCAAGATCATCGCCGACATGCTCTTCAACCTGCTGCTGCAGGCGCTCTTCCTCTTGCAGGTGAGCCGGCGGGAGGCCGCAGCCGGGGCTGGCTTTGCGCTGTGGGACATGATGAGCTTCACGTCGGGTTTTTCAGAGACAGCTAGAGGAATGAAAGACTAGGCAATCTAAAACCCAGATAACCATGCCTCCCCGGGAAAGAAAGGGTGTTGCTCCCTTCCGCCTCCCCCCACCCCCTCAGGTGGCCGCAGCCTCAGAGCTTATAGGAAAGCCAGGTATGAGCCCACGGTGACGGGGCAACTGCAGTCTCATGGGAAGGGGAGGCGGTACTGGCTCATCCTTGACGCCCTACCGAGGTCCTGAGTTGTCCCCCATGAGCGACTCTCCGGCACAGCCATAACACCAGTTGCACAGAAACCAATCTTGTAATTATCTGGCTCTTTGCAGAAATCCAAAATTGCGCAGCCGCAATAGCAGCCTTGCACCATTATGTGATTCTCATAACCAGCTATAGAAAACAAAGTATTTCACAGTGCATTTTCAGTAATTCTGATTGTTGGGAGGGGGGGAATTCTAAACAATAATGGTGCATCTTTTGTTGAAATAATGAATGTAATCAATGTAGAGAAGAGTTAAGTAGAAATCACCTGCCTCACAGGCATTTGGAGGGGTGGGAGGGGGGTATATTGGGGTGTTTGGTGGTGAAAAATGAGTACTGGTGAAGGGAAAGGTGTTTGATCATTGTACGACTGAGACTTATACCAGAAAGCTTAGTAACTTTTCCCACAGTGATTCAATAAATAAATATAAGAAGAAAAATCAAATAAATTAATAAAATTATGAAAAAAAAGTAAGGTGGAGTTCATGCCCAATTCAATCAGCTAATCAGTGGCTGAATAAATAGCAGTACTCCTATATTAAAAAAAAAAAAAGACTTTCACTTCAAAAAAATTAAATAAATAAAATAAAACCCAGATAAGTTTGCCTGCCCATCCTGGCCTCCCTGAGTATGCCCTCGTTTTTGGGAAGTCCTGGGAGCAGCGGGGGCGGCAGGGGGTCACAGTGGGAGCAGGGGGTGCTGGCTGAGCCATGAGTCACCAACTCCACACCCATAGGTGGAGCTGGCGACTCATGGCAGGTGAAGTGTTTGGGCACCGAAGCTTTGGTTCATTCTTTATTTTTCCCACTTATTTCTGTTTTTTTTTTCCCTGCGGTGTTGGGGGCTCGAACCCAGGGCCTCGCATGTGCAAAGCTGAGCTCTGCCACAGAGCCACCCCAACCCCGGCCCAGGGCTCTGAAGCTCCAAGACTAAGATTTTCTATATTTGTTCTGCAGGGCATGTTCGTGAGTCTCTTCCCCATCCATCTGGTCGGTCAGCTGGTTAGTCTCCTGCACATGTCCCTTCTCTACTCCTTGTACTGCTTCGAATATCGGTGGTTCAATAAAGGTACGTGTAGCTCCCCAACTCCAAAGCTTAGGGCTCCAGCTTGGACACACAGCTACGGGAATGGGCATTTTAAACTACTCGATAACAGTGGGTATTTGGGAGGAAGTGGCCTCTTTTCTTAAGGGGTTTTAATCCTTAACGTGGTGGTGGCAGAGAACAGAGCCACATACCATTCCCTTTTGGGCACTGAATGTGGAGTCGTTCTGTTTCAGCCAGAACATGTCCTGAGTGATTAAGAGTTAATTTGAGTTAAAAATGAAATTGCCACCAGTGAAAAAATGAAATTGCCACCAGTGAATTCAGATTCTTGAATTACTGGAAAGGCCTGCAGCCTGCTTGTTCGACGTGTGTGGTCGTAGTGAGTTTCTGCTGCTGCTTTATTCGCTGTCTTGATTTGTGGAAGGCAAAATCTGACAAAGGATGCTCGTGTAATAGTCCGTAATTTGCTCAGCTGCCCGTTTTAGAATCACCATGGTTGAATCATAAAAACTGCCTGAAGCCTTGTGTGAGATTTGCGTGTTTCCAACATGCATGTCTTAGCTTTGTTCTCAGTGGCAGAGCCATGCTAAAACTGAAGTTCATTTGTCGGCCATGGTCGTCTGACTCAGGGGAGACCCGAGTCTTCATTGTATCGGCCCCTCATTTCAGGAATCGAGATGCACCAGCGGCTGTCAAACATAGAAAGGAATTGGCCATACTACTTTGGATTTGGCTTGCCGTTGGCCTTCCTTACGGCAATGCAGTCCTCATACATCATCAGGTAATGGGCTGGAGGGGCTTGGAGGGGCTGGGTATAGACCTAGACTCAGCGAGGAAGCAGCTCTATGGGCATGGGCTTGAGCCTAACTCTGTGCGAGGCGTTTCGCCTTATTTAACTTGCCAGAGTCATAGAATCTGACTCCCTGATAGATGAATATCAGTCATTTTTTTTCTTTATCATTTTGGGTCACACCTGGCGATGCTCGGGGGTTACTCCTGGCTCTGCGCTCAGGAATTACTCCTGGCGGTGCTCAGGGGACCACATGGGATGTGGGAATTGAACCCGGGTTGGCCGTGTGCAAGGCAAAAGCCTTACCCACTGTGCTATTGCTCCAGCCCCAACAGTTTTTCTTTTTTGTTTTGGATTTTTGGGTCACACCCGGCCTGGCTCTGCACTCAGGAATTATTCCTGGTGGTGCTTGGGGGGCCCTGTGGGGTGCCGGGGATTGAACCTGGGTTGGCCGCGTGCGCTTGAAAATGCAGGTGCACGAGCCCCTGTACCCTGCTGCTTCTTTTTATGTTCCTCTTGGAGCAGCAACAGACATAGCCGCAGAGAAATCCTCTGTCCTCTTCGGAAGGAGTGTCTGCTCCTCTGCGGCTTCCTCGAGCTCTGATGCTCTGCTGGAGTCCGAGGGCCCCTGGGGGTTCCGGCAGTGGCCGATGGCTCCAGCTGTTGTGGGCGTGAACGGCTGGTCTTTTCTCTTTGCAGCGGCTGCCTTTTCTCCATCCTCTTTCCTTTATTCATCATCAGCGCCAACGAAGCAAAGACCCCTGGCAAAGCATAGTGAGTAGGACCCTGGTGTGCTGAGCAATGGGGATGCAATCCTGCAGCTGCATGAAAAGGATTTTGTTTTTTTTGGGGGGGTTGTTTTTTGGGGGGTTGTTTTTTGGGGGTAAGGGTTTTTCTGGAGGCACTGGGGTCGGGGGAGTGGAATGTAGTGCCAGGGATCGAATGTGCCTGTAAAGTGTGTGCTCAGCCTGGTGAGCCACGCTCCAGCCAGGTCTAAAATCTTATCTCTCCCCCCCCCCGCCCCCGGCTTTTAATTTAGTTTTTGGGCCCCTGGTGTTTCTCAGGTTTGACTCTATCTGGTGGTGCTCAGGGAACTATGTGATGCCATGGATTGAACTTGGGCCTCCTGCGAGCAAACCTTGTGCACTTTGAACAGCTGTTTTGTTTATTGGGCAGCACCCAGCCATGCTCAGGCATTCCTCCTGCTTCTCCTCTCAGGCATCACTCCTGGAGGGCTCCGGGGATCCTATGGCATGCTGGGATTGAACCCAGGCCCACTTCATGAAAGACAAATGCCCAACCTGCTACACTACCACTCTGGCCTCCCCTTTGAAAAGCTTTCTAAAAATTTTTTTTAAATTGCTTTTGCTGTGCTAGGGATCAAACTCTGGCCTCACACATACGAGGCTCTGTTCTCTATGTGGAACCATGTCCCCGCCCTCTCTAGTATTTATTGGTTTGGGGGCCACATCTGGCAGCACTCACTGACATGCTTGGGGCAACAATCAGGTGGTGCTGGGGATTGAACCTGGAATTTCCTTGTACAGATTTCCTCACCAACCCTTTGAGCTGTCTCCCCAGCCCGTATTTATTTATTTCAAATAATCTTCACTCTGGAGGAGAGCATTAATATGTAGTTTAATGAGACCTGGGATATATCCCCAAAACTTCTTCTTCATACAGGCACATAAATATTTGTTTCAAAGGAGATCCCATTATAAATCTTACTTTGAGGGGCTAGATTGATAGTGCAGCTGATATGCAGTGTGACGCGTAGGGTGCTGGCTTTGCATATGGCCAACCTGGGTTTGATCCCTGGTGTCGCATAAGGTTCCCTGAGCTCCACTAGGAGTGATCTCTGAGCACTGAGCCAGGAGTAAGCCCTGAGCACAGCTGGGTGGCGCCCAAAACAAAACAAAAATTTGGATAGTGGTGAAGTTTTGGTTTGTTTGGGGGTTTTTGTTTGTTTATTGTTTGGAAGCTACATCCTGTGAAGCTTAGGGTTTACTCCTAGCTCTGCCCTCAGGTATCACTTGCAGGCACTCAGAGACCATATGGAGTGTGGGGGATTAAAGCCCGGTTACCACATGGAAAGCAGATGCCATCAGTGAAGTATCCTCAGAGAATGTTGACCAGTCCGAGCTCTGGGCACTGGCTTTCATCAGTCCCGGCTCAGTCTCGCCTCAGTCTCTGAAGATCTGCAGGGCGGACGTTCTGTTTCTCTTTGGGGGTTGATCTGCTCCGCCAGGCCGCAGTGCTTTGTGACTCTTCAAGATGCTGTTGGCCTTTTCTTGATGGGTGTGTCCTGAGACACGATGTTACCCGGGCAAGCCCCATTCCTTCCATGATGGCTCCTGCTTTTTGGTGGCGCGCAGGGCCCAGGGTGCTCAAGTGCTCCCCCTGATCCGCATCTGACAGCACCCCAGGTCCTTTTTCCCTGCCCTATTTCACAAGTTGTCCCGTAGCTAAACCACATCAGTGGTTATTTTTTTGGGGGGGTCACACCCAGAAATGCTCAGGGGTCACTCTCAGCTCTGCACTGAGGAATCACTCCTGGAAGTGCTTGGGGGACCCTATGGAATGCCGGGGATTGAACCGGGTCAGCTGCGTGCAACGCAAATGCTCTACCCGCTGTGCTATCGCTCTGGCCCCTAAAACTACCTCTCTTTGGTTGTGTATGGGGGCTGGCGTCTAAACCACATCCCTGCTCGCCCCGTCTCCCCCAATTCGTTTCCATCCTTTAGAGGACCTAACAAGTAGGGTCTCTTGCCTTCTAGCCTTTTCCAGTTGCGCCTCTTCTCCTTGGTGGTCTTCCTGAGCAACAGACTCTTCCACAAGACGGTCTACCTGCAGTCCGCACTGAGCAGCTCCGCCTCCGCAGACAAGCTCCCCTCGCCACACCCGTCTCCCGCCAAACCGAAGCCTGTCGCAGGCCACTGAGTCACCAGCCAGCCCCCCCCCCCCCACTTCAGTCCCCTCCAAACCAGGGAAGGCAGGACCCACTCTGCCAAGGGCCCTGTGCGTTTTCCTGTCTCGGAGGAATCGGCAGTTTCGTCTCTGGTGCATGTAAGGCAGAATCTTCCTGACTCCTGTATGCGGATTTTTTTTTTTTAAACACGGATGAGTCTGCAAGGACCATGGGTCCTCCCTCAGCTCTTTTCTAGCATCTGCCAGCCCCTGTCCCTGCCCTGTGCCCGGACTTATTTGAATACATTTTCTCCCTGTGCCATTTACCTACTCTACTCCCGCCCCCCCCCCACTTCCTGCCTCTCTCCACCCTCGGATGAATGGATTTTGTAATTCTAGCTGTCGTATTTTGTGCCGTCTCGTCGTTAACTTCTGTTGTTTTCCTGTGAAGCACATATATTGGATGTGGGAGGGAGAGGAGCATCGCCGCTGCTCCCGCTCGGCTCTCCCGTTCTAGCCATCACTGTCTTGTTTCTTGTAACTCAGGTTAGATTTTTGGCCTCCCTTGGTCCACTGCAAAAGAGAAAAAGAAAACCAAGTCTGTAAAGAGGGGACAGGAGAAAAGGCCCCGCAGCCAGATCTGCCAGGGTCTAAAGAGTGATTTTTCTTTCTTCCCCTTGAAGGGGAATCAAGGTGTTTTCACTGGAACATTTTTAAAGTTCCCCACCTGTAGGGAGGCACCAACATTGGACAAGAGCTGCGGCGGCAGACCTCAGCACCCGAACTTTTAAACTCCAGGGCCTGGACTCGCTGCTGGCCACTGCTGCTCTGTCCACTGTTTCAGAGGAAATACCGGGTGCTGCGAATAGGAACTGGGGGGGTGAACTGAATAAGCCCATTAAACCTGTGGTTGGTGTTTTCCTGTTATTTTAAGAGATTTAAGTCTGGGGGGGCGGGAGGGCGGGTCAGATGTCAAAATACTTGTACAATTTTAAAACGTCACAATTAAATGTGAGCTGGTTTCCCACAGGATGTGTGATGGTTGAGTTTATCATGTTTCAAGGAAGGGGTTTGGGGAGAGAGGGGGGGGAAGGGTGGGGGCTTAGGGCTTGTGCTTTGTACACAGCCAATTCCGGTTCCCTTCCCAGCTCAGGCAGGGCAGGCTGAGCCACAGAGAACCCAGAGCATCCCAGGGGCTGCAAGGACCCTGAGCATAACCACATGTGACCTGTTGGGCTGAGAATTTCTGGGAAGCCCCTTCCCCCGGATATATCCATGGAGCCAGTCCTGGATAATGGATATACTTTTGAGACGTTAGCCCTGAAAACGTTCCCTGAGGAAGTTCAGATTATGTCATTATGTTTACATCTTGTTAAGGAATGTGGGACTATTTGCTTTAAAATCTGGAATGTGCTTATTACCTTTATGTTCCTAAAATGCATGATAGATGGACAGCAATCTTTGCCGAGTATAGGACAAAAAGAAATTGGGATTTCATAATGATTGCTGAGAGATGAAAACCTGGTTTAAAATGTAGAAGCTTATTTCATAGCGAACATCTTGGGGGGAATAATCACTTTTCATACTGTGCACAAAAAATTATGACATTCTTTAAGATTTTTTTTTTTTTTTTTTTTTGCTTTTTGGGCCGCATTCGCGGCCGCGCGACATTCTGTTATGACATCTTATTATCTCATTCCTACTTTGGACAAACTGGCAGGCTACCGAATGTAGCCTGCCCACACGGCAGAGTCTGGCAAACTCCCCGTGGTGTACCCAATATGCCAAATACCAGTAACAATGATGGGTCTCGTTCTCCTAAAGAGCCTTGGATATAATCTCAGGGTTAGGATGAAGGAGACGTTACTGGGGCCTGCTCGAGGCAACCGACGGTTAACAGGTTGATTTGTGATTTTGTGATTTGTGATTTGGGTTACACTTGACTGCACAGGGGTTACTCCTGGCTCATGCACTCAGGAATTACTCCTGGCAATGCTCGGGGGACCATATGGGATGCTGGGAATCGAACCCGGGATGGCCGCATGCAAGGCAAATGCCCTACCTGTTGTGCTATCACTCCAGGCCTTACATTCTTTAAGATCTTTCAAGGGCAGCAGGTAGAGTGTTTTTGACCCTGCATGCAGCCAACCTGGGTTCAATCCCCAGCATCCCATAAGGTACCCCAAGCACTGCCAGGAGTGATTCTGAGTGCAGAGCCAGGAGGAACCCCTGAGCATCGCCACATGTGGCAAAAATAAAAGAACGAAAAACAACCAGATTTGTTTTCAGTATTTCTCTTTGTCTCCTGCAGTCACCTGACAGCAGCATTGTCGGTAATTAAACTTCAAGGTTGTTGGGAGTGGTTTGAAAACGACGACCTGATATTCCATTAGCAGATCAGTGATAAGTATTTCTTTGGCTTTTAAAATTTTTTAAATTGGCTCAGTTATTTAAGTGGCCATATCTTTGCTGCCCGAAATTCACATTTGCACCAACAAAGCTGGTCTTAGAGTCGTGTTGAAGGGAAGTCATGGCAAGCAGAGATGTGTGATTTTTAGCCAGCCCAACTCTCTCGAGAAAAATGTTCCTTTTTGTGAGTGCAGCTGGGCGCTCTCCAAAGTTTCACTAGTACATCTCAAAGGCCAGGCTTGTACCAAGGCTACATCAGTCATATGTACAAGCAGGAGTTTGTAACAATTTCCAATAAGATGCACAGGAAACCAGTGAAAACTTCTCTTGCCTCAGGTACTGAAGGCGGTGATTAAAGATGGTGTTTCCAGGCATCAAAGGCAGCATAGATTTTTCTGCTGGCTTCAGAAAGGCAGTTTGAGGCAGACTAATAATTAGTCACTGAAAGAATGAGAGCTGGAGTTTGAATCACACAGCCAGTAGGATGGAAGGAATCATGTTCATAAAAACCCTTCTGGGATTAGTCTCCCAGCTCGGCGTTGGGTCCATGCTTAAACGCCCCCCATGGTCCTACGTAGAGCTTTGTTCATCAGAGTAGCTCTTGATTTGCCAATGGATGCCTCCAAGTTGAGTGTTGAGCCGACTAGGAACGTTTTAATGGGCAGATTTTTTTTCATGCACTGACTTGTTAATTGCTCTGCACTTGGTAAGGACAGAGATGAAGAGGGGTTGGGACACTGGATTGGCATTGGCAGTGGCAGCTAACGATTAGAGGTTTATGAGCCACCCGCGAAGGTAACTTCTGTGCTAATAGGGCAGAGGTGGGCATCTGCTCGATGCCTGTTTGTTTCCTGTCACTAATAGCACTTTATTTTCTGGTTATAGGAGCAGCACACACACGTACCATGGGCCCACCTCTGTCACTGTGACTGCTCTGGTAGGTGGTCCGTTCACGGGTGGTGGGTAGAGAGGGCAGCCGTCGGCTTCTGCACCATCCTCATTCATGTTCCCCTCAAGTTGTAGGGCCCCAGAAGTTCAAAGGAAGCCGACATCAGGTCAGCTTAGCTGAGTGATGCCCTAGGGATGCTTTTTTCTTTTTCTGGTTCTGGGGCCACAACTGATGATGCTTCAGGGCTGCTCCATGCTCTCCTTAGGGATTGCTCCAGGGCACCTTGAAGTGCTAGAAGGAAACTGATCCTAGGCCTTCACTCCATCCCGTTGAGCTTAGGTTCAGTAGGATGAACCTAAAGTGACTCTAGAGGATCAGTGAAGGATGATGGTGACAAGTGACTTCATCAGTGGCTGCTGTTGAGTGCTGACAGGCCCAGGAATTCGCTGGGCAGCTCAGGGAGAATCAGAAAGAGGATAATGGCCCCTTGGACTGAATAGTAGAGTTGAAGAAACTGAGCAATCAAGCACATTTTTAAACTTGTGTCCAAATACTACTATTTTCCATAGGTCCCGAGATTGGGTACCACTGGGAGTCAGTGAGTGCCTGCATAGGACTAGGTAGGCGCCCCACTTTTATATTCATTTCATTCTCTGATGTCAAGCTGAAGATTTTGGAGTGCCTTTAAGACCCGTGGTGGGGGAATAGTGAGTTTATTTTTGGCTTTTTTGGGACTATACTCAGCAGTACACAGCAGGGCTAACTCCTGGCTCTGCACTCAGGGATTGCTCCTTGCGGTGGTTTGGGGACTGTAGGTGAAACGGTGGGTTGAATCCTTATAGGCTGTGTGCAAGGCAAGTGCCCTCCGCACTGTGCTATTGCTCTGGCCCCAAGACTGGTCATTCAAAGCAGAGACTCCCTAACGACCTACTGCCCCCTTTCAGCAAAAACGATGCTCAGCTATGGATGGATGTGACCTCTGTTCAGGACAAACACGGTACCCTCCTCTTCCAGGTGACTACTGCCCCTCTAGACTGTGCACTGGGAAGGACTGTGCAGTATCACCCACTTTTTATTTTGGGGGGTTGGGCCACACAACGCAATGTTCTGTAACTATTCTTGGCCCTCTGCATGGGAGTGACCTGTGGTGTTCCTTGAGGGACCATATGTGATCCTGGGGATCAAAGGTGGAGTCAGCTGTATGCAAGGCAAGTGCTTAAGTACTATCACTGCCTCAGTGGGAAAGAACCGATTTGGCAAAAGCTTGGTATCAACCATCTCAGTAGTTTCCCCAAAACTTGTCACTGGTCCTGAGCACTGCCAGGAGTAATTCCTCGGTGCAGAGCCAGGAGTAACGCCTGAGCATTGCCAGGTGGGGCCGCAAGACAAAACCAAAAATGACTAAAATAAAACTCTCGAACTATGAAACAGTGAAATGAGTCATGAGAAGAGAGCCTGGCAGTAGGGCTTGGCAGTGCATTTAGAATGTGTTCTGGCTTCAGGGGGTCTCCGGGATGTAGTTCAAGGCCTGACGCTGACTGGTTCCATTTCGGGCACCTCCTGGCTGCCAAGCATCTACTACGTGTAGCCCTGGAGGACTCACGTGTCCCTGGATGTGGAGCTGAAGGGCTGAGCATGTCTTTGGTATTCCAGATGCACGAAGCATTGCATTCTCTGGCCCCAGCACCACATGCCCAGCTAGCAGAGGTGGCGAGTGGTCTCAGGGGTCTCTGGAGACCAAAAGCAAAAAAACCCTTCTCAGTGCAGTAAGTCAGAAGGGAGGATGACAGGCTGAGTTCTCCAGGTTTAGTTTTCCCTGTAACTTTATAGTCCTATTTTTTTTCTTTTTGGAGGTATGGGGAGGAAATGGGGGGCTTGAGCTGCTCCTGGCTCTGTGCCTGGGGCCCACAGGGTGCTCAGGGGGCTGGCAGGGATCGGTTCAGGCCTGCTGCAGGTGTGCCCAGCCCTTTGACCTCATTCTCCTCTTCCGAACTTCCGGTTTTGCTTTTAGATAAGCCTATATAAACTGGTATTTAGCGTTCAACTTTTTAAAGGGATTTCACTTCCACAGGCAAGGCATTAGATTTTAAACTTTATTAGTACTTCTTTTGCCTCCTGAGAGTCGACTTAATTCTACTACTTGGAAACTTAAAAATATTTGTTTTCAATTGCTCATCCAATAAATTTTTAAAAATTAATGAGAACAACATTAATAGTAGAATTCAACAGCTGAAGACCTCCAGGCCCCAGCCAAGGCCATGCTGGGACCACTCTCCACACTTGGATGGGCCTCACGCATAAAAGAACTGGCAGAGGAACCCAGGTGTGTGGGACCCGGGGCTGAGATCTCCAAGCCTGCACGGTTTGGGACTGGACCTGCCAGTAGCTAGACAGTTACACCCACCAACTGCCGTGTAACCCCAACAATGGCCAGGATCCAGAGATTATCACACCAAGCATTCGCGGCCGTGTGACTTTTTATTTACATTCATTTAATTTTTCTGGGTACCTTAAATATACCACCCACACGGCAGAGCCTGGCAAGCTATCCGTGGTCTATTTGATATGCCAAATCCAGTAAAAAAAATGGATCTCATTCCCCTGACCCTGAATATGGCAGAGTCGAGAAGGATATGGAAGGAGAGGCTGATAAAATCCCAAGGCAGAAATAGGCTGCCAAAACGAAGAAAGACAAAAATGATTGTCTGTACTTTTAATGCACATACGCTGGCATCTGAAGCATCCATCGAGGACCTGATGGTACAAGTGCGAAAGATCAAGTACGACATCATTGGTCTGACCGAAACAAGAAGACATCAATCACATCACGCCGTTTTCGACAATGGAGAAGAACTATTCCTTGGAACATGTGACAAAAGAGGCGTCGGTGGTGTCGGTATCCTTGTCAACACAAACTTAGCCATGAGCATTGATTCATTCGAATGCCTAACAACCCGAATCGAACGATTACACTTGAATAGATGTGGCTCACTGCTGGCAGTTTCTATCTTTGTTGTCTATGCACCAACATCCAATTATGGTGAAAGAGAAATTGAGAAGTTCTACATGGAGCTGGAGAAGTTCTATAAAGAAGATCACACCTTCTACAAGATCATTGTCAGTGATTTTAATGCCAAGATAGGACCAAGAAGATCAGCCGATGAACTCCACATCAGAACCCATGGCCTAGAATGGAACGAACAGGGTGACAGACTGTCTGAGTTGATCATGTCAACCGAGACCTTCCATGGTAACTCACAGTTCCAAAAGGCTGAATCTAAACATTGGACATGGGAGTCTTCTGGTGGACGGTTCCACAATGAAATAGACCACATCATACTCAATCGGCGGTTTTGCCTAACTGATATTGCTGTTGTCCCAAAATTCCAAACGGGATCGGACCACCGTCTCCTTTGTGCAAAATTCTACCTCATAGAACGAGGAGAAAAGAATGCAAAGTTTAAGAAGAGAACGCCCAGAACGACCACCAACTGGGAACTCTTTGGCTCTGTTGCGGCAACATGGGAAGATGCCGTCATTGACAACATTGATGAGGAATACGATCGAATGATTCAGCACCTCCATGATTGTGCGAGGAATGCCAAGAGAGAGATAACCACAAAAAAACCGCCTTTCCTTGAACACTCTTGAACTTATTCGCCAACGTGGCTTGGCACATGACTCAGGCAACCACAAGCCAACGTCCGAACTGCCAAAACAATGCAGAGAAGCCATCAAGGATGACCTCAAAGACAGGAGAGCAGCGGTGCTGGTAGATGTGGCAGAAGCCGGGAAAAGCATTTGTAATGCCCGCCTGTCCTTCACCAACTACAAGACCAAGATGACTGCCCTCCGACATCCTGATGGATCTATCACATCTTTCAGAAGGGCAATGGAGAAGATTATTCATGACTTCTACTCAGATCTCTTTAATAGCCACGTCCACTTGCCCACATACCACATTCCGCATGATGGATATGTCGTTCCCAATGTTCTCCCTTCCGAAATCCAACTTGACATCTCGTCGGTAAAAAAACAAAGAGCACCTGGCCCAGACAAGATCAGACCTGAACACCTGAAGAACTTACCATCAGTACTCATCAATACACTGACTCGGCTCTTCACTCGCTACCTGTCTGAATGCAAGGTTCCATCCCAGTGGAAAACCAGCAGGACTGACTGTACTACTATACAAGAAGGGATACATCCACAACATTGGCAACTATCGCCCAATCTGCCTATTGTCTCATCTACAAACTGTTCACTCGAGTCATCCTGAATAGGATCAGCAGAACCCTAGATGAAGGACAACCATGTGAACAAGCCGAATTCCGAAAAGGATTTAGTACCATCGACCATATCCACATAATTACTAAGCTCATTGAGGTTTCTCAGGAGTTCAAGGGGCCGCTCTGTCTAATGTTCATTGATTTAAAGAAGGCTTTTGATTCTGTTGAGATGGAAGCGGTCATAGAAGCCCTAGCCAGTCAGGGCGTACAAACTCAATACATCAGGATTCTTTGTGAGCTCTATTACGGATTCACTACCAGGATATCACCATTCTACAGAGAAGTAATCATCCATGTCAACAGAGGGGTTCGGCAGGGTGATACCATTTCACCAAAACTCTTCAGTGCCACCCTCGAGAACATCATGCGACAACTGGAATGGGAAAGAATGGGAGTGAAGATAGATGGTCGGCAACTACACCACCTCCGCTTTGCTGATGACATCATTCTAATAACACCAAACATCAGCCAAGTGGCACTAATGCTGACCGACTTCGACCATGAGTGTGGAAAGGTCGGACTACAGCTGAATCTTACGAAGACAATGTTTATGAGAAACAGCCTCGTTCTTGACGCTCCATTCGCTCTCAATGGAACCACCATCTCCGAATGCAACAGTTATATATACCTAGGTCGAGAAATCAACATGATGAACGACCTGGCACCTGAGTTGCACAGGAGGAAGAGAGCGGCTTGGAATGCCTTCAAGAGAGTTGAAGAAATAACTAAGAGGACAAAGAACCTCCAGCTACGAGCACATCTCTTCGATTCCACTTCTTCTTGCATCAACATATGCCTCAGAGACCCGGGCCCTACGAAAACAGGATGAGAACGCTATTCGAGTCTCTCAAAGAGGAATCGAAAGAGCTATGCTTGGAATATCATGATTCACTCAAATGAGAGATAGAATCCGAAGTTCTGATCTCCGTCAACTCTCAAGAATCAGGGACGCTGTCTCATTTGCCAAGGCATCAAAAATCAGATGGGCTGGACACGTAATGAGGTTTACAGACAACCGCTGGACTAGAGCCATTACTGACTGAATTCCACCGGACGTCAAAAGATCCCGTGGACGCCTACCTACAAGATGGTCAGACTTCTTCGTCAAGACCCTGAATGATCGGTTTGAGGCTCTGCATGTTCCTAGAACGAACAGATGCCATTGGGCTACACTAGCATGCAACAGGGATGAATGGAGACGTTACTGGCATCCGCTCGAGTAAATCGATGAATAACGGGGGATCAAGTGATCAAGTGAATGAGGACCCCCGATATCTTCGTGTTCTTAAGGCAGTTAAAAAAAAAGTTTTAGAGGACTCTTTCTGATTTTAAATCGCTAGGGGGAAAAAAATCACTCCTCTTGAGAAAACATTTACTTGAGGTTCTGCACTTCAGGTTCCGCTTCCCATGTCACAAAATGACATTGATTGAACACATTAAAAACAAATCAAAAAGCGCTGCAGAGTTCAAAAGGTAGGAGAGCGATCTTTGCACAGAGGCTGGGGGTCGACCCAGCACCTCCTTTAACACCCAGTTCCACTCACCTGATCCAGCACCCCCTTTAGCACCCAGCTCCCCTCACCCCCCTGCAAAAAAGCAAATCTGCGGAGTCAAAAGGCATGAGGAGCTTTGAAAAATACACGATTTTGAGGCAGTTCCCAATGTGTTGTGTTGTTGGTTGCATTCTGGTGGGATAAACAGGGAGGTGAGTAACTGGAACACTGAGGGCACCCCGTTTTCAGGAGGAGGCGTCTGGGATGCAGGAGTGAGGAGGAGGGCTGTCCTCTGCAACTCTGTGGGTTCTTTTCTCCCCGCTTTTTGAGTGTGTGTGTGTGTGTGTGTGTGTGTGTATGACACGCGGCGGTACTCCTGGGGACTCACTTCTGGCGGGGATAGGGGGACCATTTGGGGTGCCCAGGATTGAACCCGGGTTGGGCCCGTGCAATGCATTACTTAATGCAATGCAGGCAATGCAATGCATGCGTGCGACCCGCAGTACCATCGCTCGGGCCCCGCAGTCTTTCAGTCTGACCCCCAGGAAGTCCGTGACACAAGTCCGGGAAGGCCGCGTGAATTGCTCCAGCGTTCCCGTCCGCTGCACGCTCAGGTGAGCACTGTCAAAACGGGGGCAAACGGTCCGGCCAACCCGGTGCGAGTGCAACGGCCTCCAGCAGGCCGGCCGAGTGGGTGGTCCCGGAGAACGGGTAGAACCCCCTCCTGGAACCGTAGGTGACGGCCCATGCCGACCTCCCAAAGCACCAGCACCCGATTCCGGACTGGCGCCCCGGCCAGATCTGGAGTCCCGACTTCTCCCTGCCGTCGTTTCCGCTTCTGCTCACGTGACCGCCGCCCTGGCCACGCCTCCACGGTCCCCGCTCGGCTCCACCGTGCTCCGCAGATCGACACGTCACTCCTCGGCCCTCAACCAAACTGTTCGGAGCGTGTTCTTTCCGCGCTCTCGCACTCCGCGGCAGGCCTATCCGAGCCCGGCGGGAGCGCGCGGTCCCGCCCCCGGGCCGCTAAGTGATGTCAGTATCGTCCACTTAGAGAGCGGGAACGCAGGCTGGGCGGAGCCTCTGCGCCCGATCGACAGTTCTGCCATCCTATCGCGTCCTCCAGCGGAAGCTTCGGGCCTGATCCGGCCAATAGGAACAAGGTCCGGGAGGTGGGCCCAGCCGCTGCCAAGGTTGGGTGCGCCGCTGAACGGATGGCCGAAGGAGCCGAGCGGATCCTCCAGGAGCGCCGGCTAGGTGAGGGGGAGGCCTTCGGTTAGAACTTGAGGCTCATTAACAGGTGCAGCCCACGGCGCGGTTGGGGGGACTGAAAGGGGTGGGATTCTCGACGAGGAAGGGCGGAAACCACCCGGGGCGGGGGGCGTGGGTTGTGGGGTGTGGACGTCCTGGTGCACCGGGATGGAAAGGTCCGCTATGGGGCGGGGGTCGAGGCCCGGGGCGAGTGGGGGAGACTGGACGGGAGACCCGGGCCTGCAGGGGAAGGGATTTGGGATGCAGGGGCGGCGAGGAGGGGGCTTTGCAGGGAGGGTTGTGCCCGAGGTGCTGATTCCCGGCAGGTGGGACCAGCAGAAGCAGCGGAAGGGCGGTGGGTAGAGCGGTGGGAGACCCTTGGCAAAGAGTGGGCAGGCAGGGGTGCGGAAGCGGCGGTCTTGGAGACTAGAACTGAGGTGGGACGAGGATGCTGCCCCGTGCACAGATGAGATGCCGCTGCCAGGACGTGCTTGAAGGCGTGCAGAAGCCCAGGGCTCCCCTCTCACCCCACTTCACCCCAGACCTCCCTTTTAAAGCGCCTGCCTTAACCCTCTGACTTCTCCGTTTGCAGGAGGAGGTTCTGGCCCTCGTATTTCTCCCACTCTTTCCAGGATTCGCCCTATGTCAGTTCTCTGTTGATACGGTTTTTTTTGTTTCAGGCATTCCAGAAAGCAAGTACAAACCCGAGGGATGTGGCAGGATTATTGGCTTCCCGGAACTAGGTGTTTATTTTAGATTGTATGACAGGGATTTTCTTTGGGACTGTAATTAAGTGGAAAAGATGTTTGACTAAGAGGAGCTAGGAATAGATGATTCTTCACGCCTTCCCTAGCCCGGTCTTAGATTTTTCCCTTCCCTTCGCTCCAGTAATAGGAAGGTATCAGGAGAGATTCAACTTCTTTTTCCTCCTTGCCGTGTTGAAAAATGTTGCCTGTTTATGGCTCGCCCCTTGACAGGCTGGTGATTTTGGAGGCTGTGGGTAGCTGTGTTACACAGTCACGGCCATCCTCCTGTGATAAATCAGTGCTAGTAAGTCTTGTTCATTGAGTGATCACTATTACAAGTGTTCTACAGGCTGCTTCCCTCAACAGTATATTTTAATCTCAACATCCTCCACCCTCTATCGTTGGTATAAACCGGGAGTGGCAGGACAGAGGGCCTTGAGACAGCTGATTGCCAGTGGGTGTGGAGCTAAGCCTTATTTACAGAGTGGTTCACAGGACTGAAAGTGCTCCGAGCACGGAGGTGTATTTCTCCTCATCTTAGGGCTCAGTCATGACCTTTAGTGGACCCTGCAGCCCAGTTTGGATTTGAAACAGAGACACGTGTAGATGCTGCCTTTTGGGACTGTAAATTGTGCCGATTCAGATAATCGTCTCTCTCATCTTTCTGCTTCTGTACTCGGTTATTTGTTCCTTGCTTTCTCCTACGCATCCCATTTTCTTGAATGTTCTTTTGCCATTTCATTTTTCCCTCCTCTATTTCCAGTCGTTCTGCATTCTTGCCATCTTTCTCCAAACCCCATTTTCGTGTATTCCCGGTGTTTTCTGTTTACTCTTGTTGTTCTAGACTGCCACTTGTGTTTATGCTTGGGTAATTGTGAGGGAGTGGGAACAGAATGATGATGAAGTGGTCTAGGCCCCATTGTAGTGTCGCTTTCTGACTTGTGCCAGGCATCCTGCCCTCCGAGGAGGCTCTGGCTCCGCAATCCCAGTCCCTGTCCTCCCTTCACATCGGCAGAAGACTTGGGTATTAGTGGTAGCTCAGTCCTCTCTGATGTGTTTGCTGCTCATGGCTCCTACCAATACAAGAGAAGGATTACATAAAGAGAAGGTGTCCCATAACTTACAGTCTTGACATTTCCATTGTAGCCATTTGCCTATCATCTGTTGCCACCCATTGATGCCAAGATGACCAAGCTAGGATTCTTGCGGTTGTCCTATGAGAAGCAGGACACACTTCTGAAGCTTCTCATTCTGTCGATGGCTGCTGTGTTATGTGAGTTTACCTGGGGCTCACTCTCCTTTTGGAAGTGGGATGGAGAAAATCTTGGGGAAAACTCGGGGGCTTTTCAAAATCGCTGTGTTCTTTTCAGCTGACTGTAGTATGTTCTTTCCACTGTAACACCCCTCCCCCAATCAGTATACTTTTATGAAGGCAAAATTAAAGGAGCACAAGGAATAGAAAAGTAAAGTCAAGGCTGGTGTTCACCGGGGAAGGAGCAGCCAGCCTGCTGTGCTAATTCTGTTTCTTTATAGGACTGTGGGATACTGAGACCCCAAGACTCAGAATTTTGGAAAGACAGTTATATATAACTACTGACCTTTAAAATGATGCATTTAGCATTAAAGTGTTACTGCTAAAATCACTGTTAAAATTCTGGCTCTTGCAGCTTTCTCTACTCGTCTGTTTGCTGTTCTCAGATTTGAAAGTGTCATCCATGAGTTCGATCCGTAAGTACCTTCGTTTGGTCTCTCTCAGATTCTAATGCCGGGGCCTTGGCTCCATGGCCGAGCACTTGCCTTGCATGCATTAAACCATGAGCTTGATCCTTGGCACCTCATGTTCCCTTGAGGACCTCCGGGATGACCCCCAAGTACTACTGAGTGAGGGCTTCACCCTCCCTCAAAATATTTGAATGTCAATCACTTTCCTGTTGTATAGACATATTTTTAATACATGTGGGTTGAAAACGCTCAATTCTCTAGAGAATTACTCCCTTCTTCTAAGCATTTCTCTTAAAAATAATAAAAACTGAGTGAATCGCTCCAAGTTTCAAAACAAAGATGAGTGGTGTTTTTGGTGTGCTCGTCTGTCACTTACAACCTGGCTAGACAACTCCGGGGCCAAAGAGATAGTATTGTACCCGATGTACTATCGGGGCTGATCCGAGGCTGTGCCATAGTAGAGGTGAAAGACACTTTACTGAGCATTTCGTGGCAAGCACTATCTAACATTTTTATAAAGTCATCTGACCACACTATGGGGGGAGGCCCAGGTACTTCCTTCTTAGAGGTAGAAAGACTGAGGTCGAGGGCAGTGATGCAGAGTTAGACCTTTAGGGGTATGAAGGCCAAGCTGTGAAATCTAGGTTGGACTGCAGTCCTTGGAGTCACTGTGTCACCTAAATCAAGGCTTCGTGGGAAAATCTGGAGTGACCCAGGCATGTGGCTCTGAGGCAGGGCGCCTGCCTTGCATGCGGGACACTGACTGGCTTGGTCCCCATGGCACTGCGGAGCGGTCACTCTGACCCCCAGCACAAGTGTTCGGCTCCTGGTGCCTTTCGGATGTGTGTGAGCAGCATAGCAGACACTGCACCTAGATGCGGTGGCAACAGCAACAGTGAGAGGAAGGGGATGAAAGAAGACGGAACAAAATAAAGCCACATAGGGTTAGTTTGATAGCACAGTGGGTAGGGCGTTGCCTTGCACGCGGCTGACCTGGGTTCGATTCCCAGCATCCCATATGGTCCCCTGAGCACTGCCAGGAGTAATTCCGAGTGCAAAGCCAGGAGTAACCCCTGTGCATCAGCAGGTGTGACCCCTCCCCCAAAAAAGAAAAAATAAAACCAAATAGCCTTCAAAAAAGCCAAACAACTCAAACCCAGTCAATGAGCGCGGGGCTGTGGCTGAGCAATGAAGCACTTGCCTTGGGCTTGTTGCCGGACACCACGCCAGGAACAGCCGAAGGAGCACTGAGCTGAAAGTTTGAGGCCTGCACCTCTTTGCAGATTTTTGCATTCTGATTCATGCAGATGTTTTCAAAGCACTTTGGAGGCACACGGTATTTTCATCAGTGTCTCTTCATCAGTTTTTTTTCTCATGAATGAGAGAAGAATGCTCATGTGGTTTTGTTTCTGGGTCACCGGGCTTATTTCAGCCCTATAGACAAGTGCAAGTTACAGGGAGGTGGTTGAGGAAGCAGGAATCTCTGGCGTAATCATCGAACCAGAAGGACCTAAAGGCCATGGAAATTGATACTCCTTTGGTAGAGCAGGAAATAGGGTCTGGGGTGTGAACAGACCAGATCTGCTTCTGCTGATTTTTACTTCTTCCATCTCTGTGTCTTTATCCCGGGACAGAGGCCACGGTTCTGATGTATAGACTTACCCTCATTCCTTCTGTCTCTGAGTTACCAGAGTAACAGTCATCGTTGACAAACACAGGACAGAGATTTCTGCCATCTGCCACTTTGACTTATTCGAGCTGCTAAAATTTGGCTGACCAGGAAGGAACAGGGCTGGAGACATGGGCAGGAACGATCATATTCAGTACTCAGTTCCTCTGGATTAGTCAGAAGTTTGTGCTCAGGGGCTAGTCCCATCATGGTCCCACCCCCACGCCTCTCACAGAGGTTCTTCCACTCATGGTCTCCCTAGTGCTGGACATTAAACCTGGACCTCCTGAATGCCAAAGCATAAGCTCTCGCCCTTTGAATCCCTGGCCTGTTAAAATTCATATTGTAGTTTATTTTTCGCTTTTCCCTCCTGAGTTTTTCAGGAGAAACAGGAGAGGGGTACGTAGCTTAGAGCTAAAGATATTTTATTTATTTATTTATTTATTTTTGCTTTTTGGGCCACACCTGGTGATGCACAGGGGTTACTCCTGGCTCTGCACTCAGGAGTTACCCCTGGCCGTACTCAGGGGACCATATGGGATGCTGGGAATCAAACCCGGGCCAGCCGCGCACAAGGCAAACGCCCTACCCACCGTGCTATCTCTCCAGCCCCAAGATATTTTATTTTTTCCCCTTTTTTTTTTGGTGGGGGGCACATCCAGTGGTGCTCAGAGGTTACTCCTGCCTCTGCACTCAGGAATCACTCCCGCCAGTGCTTTGGGACCTTATGGGATGGCGGGGACCGAATACTGGTTGGCCGCAGGCAAGGCAGACGCTCTCCCAGCTGTACTGTCACTCTTGCCCCTCTGCATGATTCCTAGTGCGAAGCTGACTTTTACGAGGGTGAGAAGCTGCTTCGTGGCATGAGCCGGGGAATGGCAGTCTCTGCTCCTGAGTGCCAAGGAAGGGAAACTGACCTCTCTCCTTTCCTGCTCCAGCTACTTCAATTACCGAACCACCCGGTTCCTGGCTGAAGAGGGCTTTTATAAATTCCACAACTGGTTTGATGACCGGGCCTGGTACCCTTTGGGGCGAATCATTGGAGGAACCATTTACCCAGGTAAGAGGAATACGATTAAAGGAATAAGGGGTTACAGAGCAGTTTATTTCATTTGTATCAGCTTCATTTTGTGACACTTAGACATTTGTTCACTCTGGACTGTCCAGAGTGACCTTTGAATTCTAAGGACAGGCGTGGAGTGCGGGGTGGGCAGCGTTTTGGATTTCTTCCCTGCTGGACTCCTTCGGAGAGCTGTGCAGGAGGGCTGGAGTTGCTGTAGCATCGCTGTTCTCTTTGGAGACGCGTTGTGACTCTGTAGTGCTGGGCATCGAGCGTGCCAGGCTTGTGCTTTATGTTACGGCGTGTGCTCAGCCCCGTGGCATGAGTATTTTGGATAGCGTGTATCTGATGCTGTATCTCGGTGTTCCCGGGGCTCTGTCAGAGCCTGCTTTGTCACGTCACTGCTCCCTGGACCCGCCTGTTCCCTTGTTCCTGGCCCTGCTCCCGGAACCTAATGGTGCTTCTCCTTCCCGTTGCAGGCTTGATGATCACCTCCGCTGCGATCTACCATGTGCTCCATTTTTTCCACATCACCATCGACATTCGGAATGTCTGTGTGTTCCTGGCCCCTCTCTTCTCTTCCTTCACCACCATCGTCACCTACCACCTTACCAAAGAGCTCAAGGTGAAGGGTCGGGGAGGCGGACATTTGGGAATGAGAGTCCACCCTCTGTGCTAGCTCCTACAGGGTGGTCCCGAGGCGAGAGCCGCCCAGCTGGGGAGTGTTGGGCCCACTCCCGCCCCTGCCCGCTGTGTGGTTTCTTATCACCAGCCGCTGTGTGTCCTGGAAGGGAAGAAAGTTAGGAAGTCTGGTGCACATTGTTTCATGAGGAAGAAAAAAACATTTAAAATTCAGAACTTGGTTTTGCAGTCTCAGAGTTCACAGGAATGAGAAACGTGATTTCTTTCTAGTCTCAGAGGGAAGAAAAATGACTCGGATGTATTCTACCGTGGTCAGTTCTTCTGAAGACGGACATGCAGCTGTTCCCATTGTTGTTTTAACATTTAAGGATCCTTGTCCATCTGACTGTGTCAGGCTCCGTGATTCTGACTCTGTCTAGGCTTCTTGGCTGGCCCTGGCTCCCCAGGGATTGCTCTTGGGTGTGGCCTGTGTAAGGGGTTGATTGTTGGGGCTTCGGAAGCTGGAGTTTAGTATGGAGCCTTCCGAAGGCCTCCTGCTGCCCTCCTTCCGAACCCGACTATCTCCGGCTGGCTGGCCTCTTGTGGAATGGGGCTCTGGCATCTCTAGATTATCACGTATCTGTCAGCTTTTTAGTTCAAATAATGATTCTCTTTCTCTGTCATCGTATAGTCTGTAGAGATGTGCCTGGTGTTCTGTGGTGTCCCAGAGATAGATGATAGCTTGGCGTCAGCTGAGCGCCTGTCTGGTATCTTACAGCTCACCAACGTGTTTGTCTATAGCATCTTGGCTTTGGCCTCAGGCTTGGTCTCCCCAAGGAGGACTGTGTGCCGTGAGCATTTCTGGCCCTTCTCAAGTCACATGCTTCCTGGGAAGTGGTGGGCAGTTGTTTGGGCCAGTTGTGAACAGAATGGACTCTTGGGTCCTCTGCCATGCTGATTTCCTCCCGTTCCGTCTTTCCTTACAGGATGCAGGGGCTGGGCTTCTCGCTGCCGCCATGATCGCCATCGTGCCCGGCTATATCTCTCGGTCTGTGGCTGGCTCCTATGATAATGAAGGTAAGGATTGCAGGGTGCTGAAAGGGTCTGGGGATGGTTCAGAGGACTGGAGTGAGGCTTTGCTTGTGAGTACCCCAGGTTTACTCCCTGGGGCTGCATGGTCCCCTGAATCCTGCCAGTATTGGTCCACGAGTGCTGAGACAAAACCTCCCCAGAGCATTTCCCAATGTGACACGTCCTTTGCCTGCCCCCCAGTAAGAATGCACAGTCTCTGTCCACATCATTTTCCAGCAGAGCTTCATGAAGTGCAGTAGAGTCGGAGTTCAGATCTGGTTTTGTTTGGGGAGGTAGATTGGGGTTGGGGCATACCCAGTGCTAGTCAGGGGTTTCTCCTGGCTCTGTTCTCTCAGGGATCACTCCTGGCAGGAGTCAGGGAGTGCCAAGGGAGCAAGCCTCAGTTGGCTGTCTGCAAGGCAAACGCCCTACCCACTGTACTACCTCTCCAGCCTTAGATCTGCCTTTTAGCAAAAATAAAATTGGTATCTGCTAGGAAGATTAGATGGGCAGAAAGGTATCTCAGTGAGCTAATATTCGAAAAGTCCTGCTCATCTTCCTGACAGGCTGCAGCCTTTCTGCTTTTCTCTGGACTTAGAAAAGTCCAGTTAATTTTTAGTGTTGCATAATATTGTTGCTTTAACATTATGACCATTCACTTTATGTTCCTAAATAAGAGAAGTGGATGTCCCTAAAGCTATAATGACTTGGTGACTCATTTCTAACTCAGCCGACATTGGTTGATGTTGTTGGGAACAGTGGTAGGCGTAGAATTGTAGAGATAGACCATAAATTGTGGTGGGCCCATAAGGTCAGTACTGACCTTCGAAAATACCCAGATAGTTCGGGTTATGGGAGAGTAAAGGGAGAGAATGGTCTAGTTTGGAGGTCTGGGACGGCAGCGGTCAAGGTTAAACTAGGCTCTGAGATGGGAACTTGCATGAGCCGTGAAGGGGAAGGGCAGTCGGCCTGTGACCAGCCGTGGATACCATCAGGCGGCTGGTGTGGTACCAGGAGTCTCCAGGACAGCCCTGGCAGGGAACTGAAGGGCCTGAAACGAGTCCCACAGCTGGTACTTGGTGGGTGTGAGTGCGGTACACAGAGTAATTCAGTTTGTGTCTGTAGTCTTATGAAGATGATACTTTTGTGGACCCTTTTTATAGGAAGTTGGGACAAGGAGAGAGAAAATAACTTCCCTAGAGTCGCACCACAATCTTAGTGTGGGTCTGCACCCGGGCAGTCATCCCCTGGGCCTGTCACCAATGCAGACTCCTCCGAGCAGTCACCCTCTGGGTTGGTCACCAGTGCAAGGTCTGCCCTGAGCAGCGTGCCCCGGTGTCAGCTTGACCGTTGGTCGCCATCCACTCTCCCGCAGGGATCGCCATCTTCTGCATGCTGCTCACCTACTACATGTGGATCAAAGCCGTGAAGACTGGGTCCATCTACTGGGCAGCCAAGTGTGCCCTGGCTTATTTTTACATGGTAACTTCTCACTCCTTTCATGTGCGGAACCCCCTAATGGCTTCCTGGTGCCATAGGAAGTCGCTCTCGGTCTCGCTACACTGGACTCGGGGCTGGAAATCTCTGTTGTCTCCTGGCCCTGCAGAGCCCCATCAGGCCGGTGTGGACATGGTAAAATGGCCAGCTGGGAGTCAGGATCTTGTTGTGCTGTCTGCATGACTTCTAGGATCCTCCTTATAAAGAGCTCAGAGCAATCTCTGTGCCCCTAGTGTTCTCGCTTTTGCAGTCCTCCAGAGTCTATTTCCTGTGGTGTTTAGTGTCTGACCAGCTCTCTTTTCTCTTACGTTCCCTTTCGAATTTTCCTTTCCCCGTATTTATTTGTTCTGCCTGATCTTGTGTGCACATGTGGACTTCTGCCCTTTGCTGAGTCCGCTTGCCTTCTTTTCCCTGGTGCCCTTGGATCCACCGTGTGACCCCGGGGCTGGGCTCCTCCTGCTTTGCGTTCCTGGTGGAGCCTTGGGGGTGAGCCCAGGATTGAGTTACGGCCGGGAGTGTGGCTTTCCTGTTTTGAAGCCCATTACTTAGACTCTTGAGACCACTCTGCCTAATACAGTTCTTAGCTCTTTAAAGAAATGTTCCCCTTTTTGGGGGTGGGGGCTGGGGGAGTCTGTGTAGTGGGGTAGGAACAGCTGACAGTGCTCAGGACTTAATCCTGGTTTCGTACATACTCCGGGATCACTCCTGGCAGGCTTAGGACCACATGGGGTGCTGGGGATGGAGCTGAGGCAGGTGCCCTCCCCCTGGTACTGTCATTCTGGCCCCTGAAAAGACATTCTGTGGAGAGGCGGCTTTCGCGTCCTGAGCTGAGTGCCTTCTGCTGCGCAGGTCTCCTCCTGGGGAGGTTACGTCTTCCTCATCAACCTGATCCCCCTGCACGTGCTGGTGTTGATGCTCACGGGGCGCTTCTCCCACCGCATCTACGTGGCCTACTGCACCGTGTACTGCCTGGGTACCATCCTCTCCATGCAGATCTCCTTCGTGGGCTTCCAGGTAGGCCGGGGGTGAGGATGGGGTTTCAGCTTCCGGCGCTGGTCTGTAGGAGATTCAACTAGATTTATTTAGGTTGGATTCTGATAAAGAGGGAAAGACTTCCTCACAGTTCTGGCCTTGAATGGCTTTGGTTTGCCAAGGCAGAAGAATTTTGGTCATTAAAGTAAGTCATTGAGTGGTCCGAGTTACTGTTTCCAGTACCTCCTGCTGCTAAGGAACCTGTTAAGAGCAGCGATCCCAGAACTCAGTGGCGTCTTCAAGGAAGCATAGCATGAGTCTTTGCCATGTATTAGCCCATCAGAGTGAGGGTTGACTCTGTATGTTTGACTAGCTTGTGAAACAGATGTTGAAGTGGAAACCTGTTATTGATCACCTACAATATGCAAGGTGCTGATGCATTTTTTCTTGTTTTTCGACCACACCTGGTGATGCTCCAGAATTACTCCTCGCTCTGCTCTTTGGGATCACTCCTGGCGGTGCGCTGGAGCCCATATGGGGTGCTGGGTCAGCTGAGTGCAAGGCAGGCGCCCTATCCACCCTGCTGTCTCTCTGACCCTTGTGTGGATAAATTCGAAACATGAAAATGTAGTTTTTGTCTTTGAGAAGGTTCCCGCCTTGTTGTCTATGTCTTGAGGTAAAGAAATTGAGCTAGCTGTTGGTAGTGTCTGGAAATACAGTTCCCGTAGCTGTGAAAGCAGGAGACTGGCTAGCAAATGTGGAGCTGCAGAAAGAGACCCTGGAGGTCAGATGTCTTGAGTTGACTCAGCAGTTAGTGTCTTGATGCCCCATTGCCACCCTGCCTCTTCCAGAGAATGCTTTCCAACAAGAGTTTGGGGACCATTGTTCTAAGCAATTTCGGTCACAGTGGAGTCTTTTTTTTTCTCTTTGGGTCACACCTGGCGATGCTCAGGGGTTACTCCTGGCTTTGCACTCAGAAATCACTCCTGGCAGTGCTCGGGGGACTATATCGGATGCTGGGAATTGAACCTGGGTCGACCACATGCAAGGCAAACGCCCTACCTGCTGTACTATCACTCCAGCCCCATGGCGGAGCTCTTAATGTGTTGGGAAGCACGGAGGGGCAGTGAAGGAGCTCAGCTTGGCAGATTAGGAGGGAATGGGATGAATGATGAGAATTTCAGTGAAAGTTTCGAGAAATTGAGGAAACTGCAACCAGACCATCAGAATCACCTGAGCAGAGAGGCCGGCTCAGACCGAGGCACCATGAGTGTGAGTGAGCTCTTCCCTCCCACTCCTCAGTCCTGGAGGCTGCTGAGCTCCTGGGCCCCTTTGGACTCAGTGAGGCCAGGGTAGTCGGGTCGACGCTGTTCACTCATGTGTTTTCACCAACAGCCTGTCCTTTCGTCGGAGCACATGGCAGCCTTTGGGGTCTTTGGCCTCTGCCAGATCCACGCCTTCGTAGATTATCTGCGCAGCAAGCTGAACCCGCAGCAGTTTGAAGTTCTCTTCCGCAGTGTCATCTCCCTGGTGGGCTTCGTCCTCCTCACCGTGGGAGCCCTGCTCATGCTGACAGGTAGCCTAACTGCCCACTCTCCGGTGCCCCGTGCAGCTGGGGGTGGACAGGCTCCAGGAACGTGGGATATTTCCCGACCATGGAGAGCCTTCTCTGCCTGTTTCTCTGGGTTCCAAGCTTCACATTCGGTCCTCTGGTCAGCCTAGTATTTGGATTCAATGGAGTGAAAGAGTATTACAGCAGCTTTCAGTAGCAGGAGAGACCCAGCTGCTGTGTCCCACCTGTACCCTGCCTTTCTTTTCTTTCCTGTCTTTCCCTAATGGCAGGGTGAGAGAGAACCTCACACCACCTGCCGTGCTCTCCCCTCCCCCCACTGCTGAGCTGTGGCTGTGGGAAGGGAGGATGGTGTGGGCCAATGGCCCCACTTTTCTTTCTTCTCCATTGCCTCACCTCCAGGCCACAGAGGCAGATTAGGTTTAGCTCTGTGCATTGGCTAATTCATAATAGTACTGGGGGCGGGGAAGGGGGGGGGACGAGTGTAGGGTCTTTAGTTTAAGAAGCTGGCCCTGGTTTGGGCCCAAAAGCTTTCCTAGCAGAAGAAACCTTTCCTAGCAGCCATCTAGAAGAAAGGAGGGAGTGACATTCTCACAAGTCACCGGTAGCATTTAAATGGAAATGCAGTTGCTGTGCGCTTTGTACAGTGGGGATTTGTGGCCAGTTAGGACCAGGTGCTCGTTGGTTGCAGGAGTTGTTGGAAATTGATTTTGCCTCTTTGCTGGCAGGAAAAATATCTCCCTGGACCGGGCGCTTCTACTCACTGCTGGATCCTTCTTACGCCAAGAACAACATCCCCATCATTGCGTCAGTGTCCGAGCATCAGCCTACAACCTGGTCCTCCTACTATTTTGACCTCCAGCTTCTGGTCTTCATGTTTCCAGGTCTGTCTAAGAATCACCATTGGATTCCACCCAAGCAAAGTCTCCTCACGCCCGAGTTTTTGTTGTTGTGCATTGGCCCCTTTCCCCCTCAGTCCAAAGAGCGGCTGAGCACGAGTCCGCAGTGTCCGAGACACGGTACAAAGTAGAGGTTTTGCAGATACTCTCAGGCACTCAGAATTCCCCATTCGTGGGTTGTCCTTTAGGATTTCAGTGGGGCAGTGGGGATACATCTGAGCAGTACAGCCCGCACCTCTTCTGTATGAATGAGGCCTTGGGTTTCACCCCCCTCCCCCAACCCGACACCAAAAATGAAATATAGTAACATAAAAAAAATTTAACCTGGGGCCAAGAAATATTTTTAAGGGATCAAAGAGATAGTACAGCAGGTAGGGCACTTACCTTTCTGGGGGCTGACCCGAGTTCAATCCCCAGCACCACAGGTGGTCCCCTGAGCCCTTCCCAGGGTGATCCCTAAGCACTTCTGGCTAAGGCTCAAAAAAAAAAAAAAGAGGGCAATTATTTGCCTTGATGTGATTGGACAGGTTTCGATTCAAAGTATCCCATATGGTCCCCTGAGCACTGCCAGGAGTGATCCTTGAGCACAGAGCCAGGAATAAGCTCTGAACATTACTGGCTGTGGTCTTCCCTTCCCCCCAAAAAAGAGAAAGAGCTTTTCATGTCATAAAGAGTCAGAATTTGGCTCTCTCCACCCTTGGAGAAGCCGCGTTCTCTCTGAGCTTGTTACTCTGTCTCTCTTACTCTCCATTCCCCCACTTATCCGCTTATCCCTTTCTCTTTCCAAAAAAAACCCAAAATCTGTTACTTCACAAAAAAAAATAATAAGTCAATAAATAAATAAAGAGTCAGAATTTTCTGGGTTCAGTCCCTGGCACTACAAAACTGAAAAACAGAAGAAATCATTATTTCTGTTATTTAGTATTATTTTAGAGAAATCTCCATTAGAAAAGTACTCAAGATACAGTACTTGCTAGATTTTTTTTGTAAAGCACAGAGATAAGATAGATGTATGTATCTGCTTCAACTATGTTTCAATTGATAATTTCATTTTATAGACATTTAAGTGGCTTCTAATTTTTTGCTGATTTAAAGGGGACAGCTCAAAGGGCTCCAGTGTTCGCTTCGTTGCAGCGGACCCCTCCTTGGACACTGCTGGGAGCATCACTGAGCACTGAGTCAGGTGTGACCCGAAACACCAAAAAGAAAAACAAAGTATAGTTGAAAGTGTCCTCACACGTATTTGTGATCATGTTTCCAGCCGAATGCCCAGAATCGAGATGCTGGGCTCGAAGCAGGGTCAGGCATGTAGTGCAGATCCTTTTCCTTGTGGCTTCCTCCCTCTGGGACCGGCTGATCATTTGTTTTCACTTTTACTTTGTAGTTGGTCTCTATTACTGCTTTAGCAACCTGTCCGACGCCCGGATCTTCATCATCATGTATGGGGTGACGAGCATGTACTTCTCAGCAGTCATGGTGAGGATGGTTCTGGCTTCTTGCCCCCTCCCCCCACCCCACCACCCGCCCCATTCTGTACTCTGGGCCATGGCAGGCTGGATGCAGCAGATACCTAGGCAGTTATGCGGACACTTTCCCTGGGCTATGTGGGTCTGGCTTACGCACAACTGCTGTGGGGCCCTCCCGAGTGTGAAGCTCCCAGACATTTTGGGTGTCGACCCAGCTTTCTTGGGATCACGTTTTAGATTTGTTAGGAAGGGTGGTCCTAAATGCCTCCTGCTTTCTTCATGGGCATCCTAAAAAGGGAGATGAAACATTTTTTCCCCTTAAATGTCTGGGATTTAAGGGCTCCATCTAGCACTCAAGATTGCCGGATTTGTAAAGGAGGGGGGCATTTTATTTATTGTAGTAAGACGGTTTCTCACAGCTTTTAACATCCAAAACCATGATGAAGAAATGGGTATTAGGGACCAGAGATAGTACATTGGGGTAAGGTGTTTGTCCAGCACATGGCAGATTGGGTTTGATCCGTGGCATCCCATATGATCCCCAAGCACCACCAGGAGTAACCCCTGAGCATCACTGAATGTGGGGCCCTCCTTTAAAAGAGAAGTTATTTTAGGGCTAGAGAAATAGTACCGAAGTTTAAGACATTTGCCTTGCATGTCTGTGTTTGGATCTGCCACAATGGTTTGAATCTTGACACCACATACAGTCCCCCAAGCATGCCAAGAGTGGCCCTGGGGTATCGAGCCAGCTGTGGTCCCTGGACACTACTCGTGTAGCCTCCCCACTGAAAGAAAGAAGAGAACTAATATCATCTCAGGGTATACATCCATACTGAAAAATTAAGAAACCACACTGCAGATGTATCACATTTTCTATTCTGCTTCATAGAAAAATCATGTTTATTGAATGCCCCTGCATTGATCCGTGAATCTAACAGGTTGTACCCACTGTTTGTGAAATGCTCACCCTGCCGTGCTGGTGCTTCCCGTCTCTCTCAGGTGCGACTGATGCTGGTGTTGGCGCCTGTTATGTGCATCCTTTCCGGTATCGGCGTCTCCCAGGTGCTCTCCACCTACATGAAGAATCTAGACATAAGTCGGCCAGATAAGAAGAGCAAGAAACAACAGGATTCCACCTACCCAATTAAGAATGAGGTGAGGGTTAGCTGCTACTCAGAGCTGGCCTGGGAAACCAAATATGTGCCTCTGTGTGCGTGTGTGTGCCTGTGTGTGTGTATGTGTGCGACTGTGTGTGTGTGCCTGTATGTGTCTCTTTGTACGTGTGCGTGCTTGTATGTGCCTGTGTGTGCCTGTGTGTGTGTGCGTGCCTGTGGGTACCTGTGTATGCCCATGTGTATGTGCGCATGCCTGTGTGTGCATGTGCGTGTGCGTGCCTGTGGGTACCTGTGTATGCCTGTGCATGCCTGTGTGTACGTGTGCATGCCTGTGTGTGCCTGTGTGTGCCTGTGCATACCTGTGCTGCCTGTGTGTGCCTGTGCGTGCCTGTGTGTGCCTGTGCATGCCTGTGAGTGCATGTGTGTGCCTCTCTGTGTTGGATAACATGGTTTGTCCTTGCTCTTCCTGCAGGGAACTTAGGTTTAGTAAGTTACTCCCACCACAGTGCTCCGGAGGTATACCCAATTCCATCAGACACTCCTAATCCTGTATTGTTTTTCTCATTCCTTTATGTCCTTTGTATGTTTTAGCAATGTCCTTTTTTTATAGGCAGAAGAAAACAGTTTGTGCTATGCTTTTGTTTTCTCTTACTATGTTCATCAAAACGATTAGAAATAAATGGATTACTAGTAAAGGAAAGGAGAAAGCAATATGCCCTTTGATGGAATCCTGCCCTTGAGTGGATCTCCTAGTAATCCAGAGTGCTGAGCCCCCAGATGAGATTTTGCCCTTGGGTTAATTTCCTAGAAGAACTCCCCCTCCCGCCCCTTTACCCCCTTCCCACAAGGAGCGGCTTTACATCTGTTTGTTATGATAATGTTCCCCCCCACCTATGTGTACAATCACAATCACAACAAATGTTGTGATTTCTATATAGCTAACAGCTGACTCTGGGAAAGGGAAAAATAAATGGTCACTGATGACCAGGCAGCCTGGGGCCCCGTCCCTTGCTCCTTCATTCGCCTATCACCGTGGCCTGCTGGGTGTCTCAGTCCTTTGCCACCAAATGCAACCATTGTGCATGCACACTTTGAACTCACATGTGTGCCTGTGTGCCTCTGTTTGCCTCTGTGTGCTTGTGTGTGCCCGTGTGCCCCTGTATGTGTGTATGAGCAAGGTTGAGCACATATAGAAGTGTCCACGTGACCTCAAATGCCCCTGACTTACGAGGTCCGTCATGTCTGCAGTGTAGGCAGTGAGAAGCGGTTCTGTGCGGGGTGAGTGAGATGTGGTTCTCTCGCCCAGGTGGCCAGCGGGATGGTGCTGGTCATGGCCTTCTTCCTCATCACCTACACCTTTCACTCCACCTGGGTGACCAGCGAGGCCTACTCTTCGCCCTCCATTGTGCTGTCTGCCCGTGGTGGGGACGGCAGCCGCATCATCTTCGATGACTTCCGAGAAGCCTACTACTGGCTGCGCCACAATACCCCGGAGGTGAGGGCCTGGGAGACTTGATCGTGGGACAGTTTCTGTTCTGGTGAACTGGCTGGCCTTTAGCTGGACAGTGAGTCATAGAAAGAACCACCAAAGAAGAAAAAGGTTCCAAAGAAGTCATTATCATGTTAGCTGCAGAAGAACAAAAGAGAAAAGAAGAAAGTGTTTATTGAGATAATTACTTAGTGAGAGTCACTTTTAACATCTTTGTTTATGTCTTTTGAGGTCCAAAATGGTAGCACTCCAATGCAGATTCTTTTTCTTTTCGATTGTTGGGGCTCTACTGGTGGTGTTTGGGCCCTCATGCCAGTCGGTGCTGTGGAGCCCTTGGGGCCACCCCTGCCATGCTGGGCAAGTGCCAGGGATTAGACTTCCTCTGTGTTCTCTCCCTGAGCCCCGAACATTTGTTTTGTGGTCCACACCCTGTGGTGCTCTGGACTTGCTCCTGGCTCTCTGCACTCAGGGATCACTCTTGGTAGTGCTCAGGGGATCGGGATCATGTGGAAGCCAGGGATCAAACCTGGGTTGGCTGCATGCAAGATAGGTACCCTACCCACTGTGCTGTTTCTTTGTTGTTTTTTGTTTTTGCTTTTTGGGTCACACCCGGTGATGCTCAGGGGTTACTCCTGGCTCTGCACTCAGGAATTATTCCTGGCGGTGCTCAGGGGACCTTATGGGATGTGAAGGATCAAACCTGGGTTGGCCGCATGCAAGGCAGACGCCTTATCCGCTGTACTATTGCTCCGGCCTCCGTACTGTATCTTTGGCCTCTTAAAAATATTTCTTAGTCCTTGTAATCATATCCTGTGCTTTGTATTTCCTTCATCTTTATAATAGCTATTTACTATCTTTAAATGTTATTTACTACAATTTTAGCACCAACTGTTGGGGATTCAAGGGTGCAGGCGCCTGCTTGGCGTGTGGAAACTGCTGAGTGTGCACCAAAAACCAAAACCCAAAAATCAACTGGTACACAGGCCCCTTAGCTCTTGTGTCAGCTGATTTGTGATGAAGATATTGATGTTACATCGTCTATGTGGAGACTCGGTGTATATAATCGAGGGCCAGGTGTCAAGATTTCTTTTCTGCTCAAGCTTGCTTTTGTGAGAATTCTGATTCCTTAGCTGTGCCTCTCTTCCTAGCACATTCCTTTCCACTCCGTGGCAAACTTTTGGTGTTGAAAACCTCATTATTTATGTTTCCTGTTCTTTTAGGATGCGAAAGTCATGTCGTGGTGGGATTATGGCTACCAGATTACAGCTATGGCAAATCGGACGATTTTAGTGGACAATAACACGTGGAATAATACTCATATTTCTCGAGTGGGGCAGGTAAGGTGATGGGATCATTTCAGTGGCAACTGTTTCCCCATGGCAGGTCCTGTGGGTTTTACTCTGAGAAATGATGTGTTTTTAATGTGCATGTATTTTGCAGGCAATGGCATCCACAGAAGAGAAAGCCTATGAGATCATGAGGGAGCTGGACGTCAGCTACGTCCTGGTCATCTTTGGAGGCCTCACTGGGTATTCTTCTGATGGTAAAGTGCTGGGTCCTGTGTCTCGTTCTGGGCATAGATCAGTGTTCCCCCAAATACCACCCTCTGGGGGGCTCCGGCTGGACTGTCTCTCTAGCCCAATGGGTTACAGTTTAAAGTTGGAAACATTTTTAATTACATTTTTAAGTGTGTAGTTTGATAGACTTACTTTCAGCACCTCTCTGGCTTCTTTCATGAGACTCGGAGCTTCATGCAGCCCAGGGTCATGTGCTCAGCATGCTCTGCACAGTAACCCAGACACCAAACCTATGTCCTTGTAAGCCCAGTGTTTGCAGGGCCCCAGGGATGGCTGAGAGTTGCAGACTCACAAGGGTGGGGCCATAAGTTTGTACCCTAGTGCCGGTCACGTCCTGGGGCCCTGGATTTTATAGCAGATAGTTTGGGGCCGGGTGTGTGTGGACCTGGAGTGCTGCCGCTGAGTCATCCCCCTTACCATCGAGCTGGCACCCAACTCCTGGTCTTGTACCCCTTTAATAGTAAAGAGGGGCTGGCGCAATAATACAGCGGGTAGGGGATTTGCCTTGCACGTGGCTGACCCAGGTTCGATTCCCAGCATCCCATATGGTGCCCCGAGCACTGTCAGGAGTAATTCCTGGGTGCAGAGCCAGGAGTAACCCCTGAGCATCTCCGGGTGTGACCCAAAAAGCAACAACAACAACAACAACAACAAACAGCAAAGAAAGCCAGAGACTTAGAATATTTCCTTGATAACGCATAACATGCAGATTTTAAGACAAGATACGTAGAGACGGGTGGTTCGGTCGATCAGGGCCTCAACCATGCCTGATTGTTGGTGTAGTATTTTTTACCTTAGTTTCATTCTTGAAGATACACTGGATGTATACGATCGTAGGTGTGAAGTATAGAAAATTTGGTTTGTGTATATATTGAAAGTGATCCCTGTGTTTACTTAGCATTTATCACCTCACAGAGTTGGTTTTTTTCCTTTGTGATGAGAACTTAAAAAATTTCCTTCAGTGCCAGGTACCAAATCCAGCGCCTCACCCATGCAAGGCTAAGGCTTGATGCTGAACTATATCCCTAGGCCTCTTGTGATAAGAACTTCAGGAGCTCAGCTTAGCCGCTTTCAGATGCCGGTACACCCCAGAAAGAACCCGTTTGGTTGCTGTAGCTCAAACCTTTTTTCATGTACCTGTGGCCGTGTCTGTGCTCTGTGGCGGTGCTGAGTTTCTGCTCTGTGTTCATCTTGCATCTGCTGGGAGCATGTCTATTTAAGTCCTCACCTAGAGTATTTTTTGTTGGCCAGAGGCCCACACGTGGGTTGGTATCATCTGATGGTGGTCCTCAGAACCATGGGGTGGGATGAGCCCCGGCCCCCTGCATGCAGAGCGCACGCGGTGGCTGTCTGAACTGTCTCCCGGCCCTAAATCTAGTTCTGTTGGTTGTTTTTTTGCCGTTTGGTCATGTACCGGAATTGGAGACCATGTGCTTTGCTCCAGAGGACATCCCTGCCAGGGTCCGTCTTTCTTTGTGTGGGCAGTGCCAGGGCTCAGCCTCATGGCCACAGGCTTGCCAGGCGGGCAGTGCTACCCACCACTCCACAACCCTCTTTTTACATTATGTTTTTAAATTTTGGGGTCACACATACCGTGTGATGCTCATGGATCAGTCCTGGCTCTTTACTTAGGAATGACTCCTGGCAATGCTTGGGGAACCATGTGGGATTCCGGAAGTCTCACCCGGCTTGGGCGCATGCCAGGCCAGCCCCTGCTGTGATGTGGCTTCAGCGCATCGTCAGACCCCCTTTGCCCAGTCTCCTACCTAGAACCGACAGCATTGCAGACTTAGGCAGTTTTAAGAAGAGTCTCTACTGGGCTGGAGAAACGGCCCAAGGGCTAAGGACATGCTGTGTGTGTGGGAGATCCAGGTTTGATCCCCAGCCCCACATAGTCCCCCAGCAGCTCCAGTGCTTGGACACAGCCCCGTTGCTAAGAGGGCTGACTCCACACCTTGGAGAGGACTCGAGAAAGAAAGAGTGACCTTTGTGATCAGTCGCTTTGCCCCAACCTTTGTCAAGCCGTGGGTTTCTGTATTTCTCCCCCACTAGATATCAACAAGTTCCTGTGGATGGTCCGGATCGGAGGGAGCACAGACACGGGCAAGCACATTAAGGAGCACGACTATTACACCCCGACTGGGGAGTTCCGCGTGGACCGGGAGGGCTCGCCTGTGCTGCTCAACTGCCTCATGTACAAGATGTGCTACTACCGCTTCGGGCAGGTCTACACGGAAGCCAGTGAGTAACTCCTCTGGCCTGGCCCTGCGGCTGGGGCTGCTCGGTGCCCAGCAGTGGGTAGTAAGTGACGGGCACATCCCATTTTACATAGGCAGTATGGAGGTTATAATATAAAATAGGTTATTTAAGTGTTTGGGCTGGAGCGGTAGTACAGCGGTAGGGCGTTTGCCTTGCGTGCAGCCAGCCCAGCCAAGCTGGGTTCGATTCCTCCGCCCCTCTCGGAGAGCCCAGCAAGCTACCAAGAGTATCTCACCCGCGCAGCAGAGCCTGGCAAGCTACCCGTGAGCTATCCATGACGTATACGATACGCCAAACACAGTAACAAGTCTCAAAATGGAGACGTTACTGGGCCCGCTTGAGCAAATCGATGAACAATGGGAGGACAGTGTGTTTGTTTGTATTTAAGTGTTCAGAGTCATTTAACTAGTATCAGGTTAAAACTCAAACCATCTGGCTCTGGATTTTTTTTTTCCACACCCAGCAATACTCAGAGGTTACTCTTAGCCCCGCCCTCAGGGTTTATTCCTGACAGTGCTGGGGTGCCTGCAAGGCAAATGCCCTCCTTCTGCTGTGCTATCACTGTCCCTGGCTCTGGATTCCTTTCACCGTCATGAGCTTCCCATGTAAAGGGATTGTGATGGAGAAAGGAGTGCATGGGGAGGAGGCTGGAGAGAGAGAAAGAATGCTGACGTGGTCGGGACTGGTCTGGGGCGGCTTCTGGAGTGGTTGCAGGTCTCTGATTTCTGATGGTTTCATCCCCGATCCCCTGGAAGGGTTTATGTGTCTGGGAGGCATCCGAGTGGCAGTCCTCAGAAATGGGGGCATTGGGACACCAGCCGTCTCAAGAGAACTAAGTCCCATGTGCTCTGCTGGAGTCTTGTTGGCAAGGATTTGACTTAGAGGGACATGAGATCTGCCCTTGCTGCCTGCCGCCCTGGTCTGAAGGACTGACCTTCTAGGCTCACTGCCAACCGGAATGGAGAACATGGCAGATCACTTCCTGTGCGGCCTCACTGTTTCCTGAGGAGCTGGGCACAGTCAGAGATCGTGCGTCTCTTTTTCCCCCACTCCTTTCTAGAGCGTCCCCCAGGCTTCGACCGGGTCCGGAATGCTGAGATTGGGAATAAAGACTTCGAGCTCGATGTCCTGGAGGAGGCATATACCACAGAGCATTGGCTAGTGAGGATATACAAGGTAAGGATGTGCCTGTCAGCGCTGGGGGCGCTTCTGCCGTCTGAGACGCACGTGGGCTCACCCTAGAATCGTGCTCTGCTGTGTGGTGCTGGAAGTCACAGGGGGCTATCATTTGGGCAGTGGTCACAGTGTTGTTCGGTGAGCGCTGGCCTCACCTTGAGTTTCTGTGAGTAGCAGTCTCCAGTGGAGATGGGTTGGAAAGTTTGTGTTTGACTCTAAACTGTAACTTCTGGTACATACTCGGCCCTCACCCATGTGCTGCCTGCACCCAGTATGGTCAAGCACATGTGTCACCCACATCTCCCCTCTTAAGATTTGGACTTTCATATTTCCCTGTCCAAAGCTGGAGTGTGTGAAAGGACTCTCCGCCCTTGGAGAAGCCCGCGTTCTCTCTTGAGAGTGTTTTCTCGTTTTCTCTCCTCTCCTCTCTCCCTCCTCACCTTCAAAAACCTCCAAATTCTGTTTTACTTCAAAAAAAAAACCTAATTTCTTCTCTCCTGTTAAGACTCTGTGGTATTGAGTAGCATAGAATTGTGTTATAACTCTTCCATAAAAAAAGATGGAAATATATGTCTGTATATATTCATATATGTGTATGTGTATATGTGTGTGTATATATATGTGTGTGTACACACACACACACACACACACACATATATTCGATGTGTTAGTACCTTCCAGGATACTCAAATTCCAAGTGCAGAGTAGCTGTCTGTAAACAGTGCTTGTTCAGGTACAAAGCCGAAAAGCCAAACCGGGTAGCAAAACCCACAATGATCTAGCCCCACTTGGGTGAGCCCAGCACAGTCAGACTGTTCGGGTTAGACCCGACCTCACCGTAACTGCTACGCTGGCATCTTTCTGTTGCAGGTGAAGGACCTGGATAACCGAGGCTTGTCGAGGACATAGATGTCACCTCCAGCTCTGATACGCTTCGCACTGAGCGCGTCACATTTAGGACGCCGAAGATGTTCCTTAAATATGCAGTTTCCAAGAACACGGTGGGGTTAGAATGTCTGAGAGTTTTGCTCTGGACATTGTGGGCTGGGCCAAATGGAATGATTTTTATAATTCTGAGCAGGTTACCAAATGAAATGTCATGGCTTTACTTTGGTCAATTAAAGGGGGGATTTTTTTTTTTATGTGCCTTATTTGTTTTGACTTTTGAGTGATTTGAGGAAGGCTGAGAGAGGACAGAAAGTAGATCTGGGCCAGAGTAATAGTACAGCAGGGAGGGCGTTTGCCTTGCACATGGCTAACCCAGGTTCAATCCCTGGCATCCTATATGGTCCCCTGAGCACCGCCAGGAGTAATCCTGAGTGTAGAGCCAGGAGTAGCCCGCTGGATGTGACCCAAAAAGCAAGCAAGCAAGAAAGTAGACCTTATCTGTGCTCCCAGCTCTGCCTTTCTCAGATTTGGAACATAATCAAGGAGTGGCTGAGATTCCACAGATACTAACAGTTTTTTCATTTCAAGAACCAGCACCTGGTACAATGCCTAGCACATTAGTGGGTGATCAATAAACTCCTGTTGGATGAATCAGTGTTTGTGGGACCAGGGGGCCTTTCCTGGACAGGGCTGGCAGCTGTGTTGCCTTCCTGTCTCTGTTCTCAGATCTCTTGTCCTCTGAGGCTCTCTGACTCGACCAGGACTTGAGGTCGACCCAGACCTGCTCTCACTAATGTTCCTTAGGACTAGTTTGACATTTTTGTTTGTATATTTGGAGCAGGAATAAATGAAGACTGAGCTAGTAGTTTTGAAGATTCAAGGCAAACAGTTATTGTTTTCTATAAGAGAAAAAAACTAATGTGTTTGTGTGTGTGGAGAGAGGAAGAGAAAGTGAGAGTTCATTTTTTTGCCCATTGTAATCTTGTATGTCTGTTTGAAATTCAACTTTGTTATTCTGGTTTTACCCCTGACACAGTGAACGTCCCTTTGCACATTTTCTTACACTGTGCTCTAAAACTCTTGTGGATAAAGGTGAGTTATTTCCTCCCTTAGTCTCTGCCTTCTTGTTAGTATATGCCACTAACAAGATCCAGTGATGGAATTCATGGCCCAGGCACTGCAGGGGTAGTCTCGGCAACCTGAACACGGCAGGGGCTGGTCTGGGGAGCCCCCAACACTGCAGGATCTGGGCACATAAGCACCCACCAGGGCTGATTATCGCCACTAGGGTACCCCAGCCTCCTGAGCACCACTTGGAAGACTCACTCAAAAGAGAAATGGTATCTAAATCCAAATATACTCAAAAGAGGCTTGCAGGAAATAAAGGAGACTTTGGGGGAAAACTAGTGACAGGTACAAAAACCAAATTCCCTTCAGGGGCTGGTAAGTTGTACAGTTTAGGGCACACACAGCCAACCTGGGGTTCAATTCCCAGCACCCCATATGTTTTCTGGAGCCCCACCAGGATTGCATCAAGGGGCTAAGGTAAAGATAAAGGACCTCAAAGATAAAGGACTAGGGTCTGGACAATAGAACAGCAGGTAGGACGTCTGCCTTCCATGTGGCCAACTTGGGTTCGATCCATGGCATCCCATATAGTCAGTCCCCCGAGCACCACCAGGAGTAATTCCTGAGTGCAGAGCCAGGAGTAACCCCTGAACATCACCAGGTGTGACCCAAAAAACCCAAAAAAGATAAAGGACCAGAGTGATAGGACAGAAACAAGGGCATTTGCTTTGTACGCAGCTGACCCAGGTTTGGTGTTCCTTGACATACCATGGGGTCCCTCGAGCAATGCCAGGAATAATTCTTGAGTGCAGAGCCAGGAGTAACCCCTGAGCATCGCAAAAAATATATATATATATATATATATAATATGTATATATATTATATATATTATATGTATGTATATATATTCAGTCGCAGCCCTTGCAAATGTGAGAATCAACTGAGTTGAAAGTGGTCTTCCCTGAGGATTCGAAAATGTTGCTTTTTAGAGTTTGTTGGTGGGGGAACTGGGGGTTAGGAATTAAGTGCACTATAACAATGAACATGAAAGTAATTCTTATTGTTCAGTGGTTCGGGGAACCACTCTGTGCTGGAATGGAGGAATGGAAAACCAGCGCCCACTTGCAGCACCTATTTCCGAGGCCTTTGAGTTACCCACCTGCTTTCAAGGACAAGACTTTTAATTTTTTTTTGGGGGGGGTGGGAGCGCAGTTTGGGTTTCACCCAGTGGCTGTCAGGAATGACTCCTAGCTGAGTGTTCAGGGGATCATGAGCTGCGGATCAAACCCAGGTTTCCCACATTCAGAGTATGTGCTCCAGCTCACTGAACTGCTTCCAGCCCCAAAAGCAAGTTCTTGAAAAGTGCTGTCGTGGGGGAGGTGGGTGGAATAATAGTACAGCATAGGCGCTTGCCTTGCACCTGGGTTTGGTCCTGATACCCCATATGGTCCTGGGCGCACCGCAAGTCAGGAATGAATGACTCCTGAGTCCAGAGCCAGGAATAAGCCCTGAGCATCACCAGGTGTGGCCCAAAGTGCTATCATGTAGCCTAGGAAGTAACAAAATTAAAATTATAAGAACAGCTATGTAACAATTCTATGAATTAGGGTGTCTAAAAATCTTTTAAAATAATATACAACTAAATAGAAGAACAGCTTGAGAGAGGATCAGGAGCTCTGACACTAGAGGGCAGTGGAAGATCATGGATGATCTCTCATGGGTACCCCCAGACTGTTAAAGAAACACCTGCAAACCTCTGTGTGTGTATTAAGTTGAACTCAGCCTCACTCGATGAACTTGGTATATAAATTAGTCTGGAAAGCTGGTTCCTGGGTCTGCAGGTGCTCCTGAGGAGAACCTTCGGGAGCATTGTTTGATTTACCTGAAAATGGGATTCTTCCTGTTTCTTGAACAGGTAACACGAGACAGTTACCTTATACATTTTGAAGTAATTTAGGATTTACTGATATACACTGTGATTGTATCTTACAATGATACACCTTGGTTGTAAATGTCTTACTGTAATGAACACACAGCTGTTTGAATGTTTTGGCATTAAATATCCATGGGGTTACTGTGCTTTGAGTTTAAAACATTTTTTTATTTTACTCAAATATAAAATATAAAATAACTCCCGGGAGAGAACAAGGCAGAGTCTCCTACCCTGTGCCTGACTGTCCCCACCAGGGCCCAACAGCTGAAGACCTCGGGGCCCCAGCCAAGGCCATGCTGGGACCACTCTCCACACACTTGGATGAGCCTCACGCATAAAAGAACTGGCAGAGGAACCCAGGTGTGTGGGAGCCGGGGCTGAGATCTCCAAGCCTGCACGGTTTGGGACTGGACCTGCCAGTAGCTAGACAGTTACACCCACCAACTGCCGTGTAACCCCAACAGCGGCCAGGATCCAGAGATTATCACACTCAGCTCCCGGAAGCGCACGGCCACATTTGCGGCCGCGCAACATCTTATCATCTCATTCCTACTTTGGACAAACTGGCAGGCTACCGAATGTAACCTGCCCACACGGCAAAGTCTGGCAAACTCCCCGTGGCGTACCCGATATGCCAAATACCAGTAACAATGAAGGGTCTCATTCTCCTAACTCTGAAAGAGCCTTGAATATGGCACTTTTCTTAAAAATCTCAGGGCTAGGACGAAGGAGACGTTACTGGGGCCTGCTCGAGGCAATCGATGAATAACAGGATGGTTGTGATTCATTGTGACTCAAATATTGGAATGGAACCACGGTCGACCACGTGTGAAGCTGGGGCTCTAACTCCTCTGGCCCCTTGGTGTTTTTCTTTTTTAAAGATTTTTTTTTATTATAACACCATAATTTACCAAGTTTTTCATAACAGGGCTGGAGCGATAGCACAGCGGTAGGGCGTTTGCCTTGCACGCAGCCAACATGGCCGACCCGAGTTCGATTCCTCCGCCCCTCTCCGAGAGCCCGGCAAGCTACCGAGAGTATCTCGCCTGCACGGCAGAGCCTGGCAAGCTCCCCGTGACGTATTCGATATGCCAAACACAGTAACAACAAAGTCTCCAATGGAGACGTTACTGGGCCCGCTCGAGCAAATCGATGATCAACGGGAGGGCCTTTACTTACTTCATAACAGTTGTGTCAGACATACAATATTCCAACACCAATCCACTACCAGTGTGACCTTCCCTCTACCGATGTCCCCAGTTTCCCACCTACCACCCCAGCCTGCTCCCAGGCACAAGTAAATTCATATTGTTCTTTACAACAGAAAGGCAAATGGAATGATCAAAGTTTAGGTTAGTGAGTCAGTTTGTGATTATGGTTATCTCTCACAGTGATGCCACTATAGTCATTTAGGATCGCTGTGCTGGTTGGTGCTAGTTGAGCCTTTTGCGTTACTGTTTCGAGGAGTTGAGCTCAGTGGTTTCTGGGCAACTTTCCCATCAGATTTGCCCTGATCCTTCTGGCCAACAGTGTGATCTGGAGGTGGCAGTCCGGGAACCATAGATATGGAACAATTTGATCGGCAGTTTGATGAGCTTCCTAGTGAAGTACTCTAAATTTTTAAAGGAAATTATGGCAAATCAAGGTTTTCAGTTTAGGAAACCTTGAGCTATTTGTGAATTTCTCAAACTCAACAATAGTTACTTGGAGGTTGAATTTCCCCCCTCATCTCCTAATACTGTATTTGCGCTTCTGTTTGCCACCTATTGGGAGATTTCCTAAACATTTCCACCTATTTTCCAGGGGTGGGAGAAGCAGGGCCCTGAGCCTGGAGTTCGCACCTGCGAGGTCAGCATCTTACTGCTGACTTCCGTCCCCTGCGTCCTGGTCCTGGGTCCTGCTGGCTTGTGTTTGTTCTGGAGGCCACACCTGACAGTGCTCAAGGGCTACCCACGGCTCTGTGCTCGCTTGTCTGTGATGTTGGGGATTGAACCTGGGGCTCTGGTACACTTAAGTCCTCTCAGCTTGAAGGGCCCTGCAACCACTTGACTTTTTTTTTTTTTAAATATTAAAGCCTCTCTCAATTTCTTGTTCATCTGTTCCTATCTGCTCTTCAATAGAGGAACCCTAGAAAGCGATTGGAAAGTCTGGGCTGAGGTGGGGGTTTGTTGAACAGGAGCCTCGGGATCTGATCAAGTCCAGACTATTGCAGCAGGACTTCCTGAGACTGGCATATCCCCATCCTGTCTTCTCTGTTAGGAAGATTCCTTCACACCTGTCAGCTGTGACTCAGGACAAACAATAGATGAGAGCAGGTCCCCACCTGTGTGACCTTACACACAGGGGCCAGGCTTGTTTTTCCCCTGGTTTCAGTTAGAATGAAACAGTGTTGAAGTAAACATTGAGGTGAGGGTCCCCGGGGCATCTCAGACACAATCCGGGGTCCAGCCTTCAGTGCATGATTAGAGACTTAATCCCCACAGTGAGGTACCCAAGGGTAAAGCCCAATATGTTGGTTTAGATTCTCCACACGCTTTCCTGTGTGCAGTACTCGGAGAAGACGGGTCCCTGGGCCTTCTGATTGGTTTTGCAGCCTTCGCTCATTTTAGTCTCACCAGCAAGTCCGCATTCAGTTGCCTCAAGCAGCCTCAGCCCATTGGGTTCGTGTGTAGTAAATCATGTTGCTTCTGTGCTCTTCAGACTCATCCTTCACTTAAAGGTGAAAGTGATTCAGATTCACCTTTCACTTGAGCTGGTTACTTTCATCTGAAGATTTTCCACTTCAGGGGCCAGAGATACAGCACAGTAGGTAAAGCATTTTCCTTGCATAAAGCCAACCCTGGCATCCCAGGTGGACTCCCAAGCACTGGGACTGGCTCTCCCCAAAGGTTTTTCCACTTTACAAATTTTGTTCTTCAGACTTCCTCATGGGGCTATTGTCTTAAAAACATTGCGTGTGGGGGGTGAAGGGAGATAGTACAGTGGGGGAAATGACGAATGGCCCACGAGCCATTTTGACATGGCATGCCGTATGGTTGGTCCCCTGACCACCACTAGGAGTGATCCCTGAGCACAGAGCCAGGGGTAAGCCCTGGTCACCATTGGGTGTGGACTCCCCCACTAAAAAAAGAAGTGTTGTTTTAGAATAGTAACATTAGTGATTGAATTAGGGTTCACTAGCTCTCCTCCCTAGGCTGCTCTCCCTAACATCTACCCGCCTTCCTTACTCTAGAGGAAAAGATACCGAATTCACAAATGGGACTGTGCTACTCCTCCTGTTCGTCACCTAATTTTTATCTTTGAAGTGCAGCGTGGAACTAGAGAAAACCCACTCAACAATCTAGGCAACTTCAGTACTTGATCACTTGATCCCCCGTTATTCATCGATTTACTCGAGCGGGTGCCAGTAACGTCTCCATTCATCCCGGTTGCGTGCTAGCGTAGCCCAATGGCATCTGTTAGTTCTAGGAACATGCAGAGCCTCAAACCGATCATTCGGGGTCTTGACGAAGAAGTCTGACCATCTTGTAGGTGGGTGTCCACGCGATCTTTTGACATCCCGTGGAATCCAGTCAGTAATGGCTCTAGTCCAGCGGTTGTCTGTAAACCTCATTACGTGTCCAGCCCATCTGATTTTTGATGCCTTGGCAAATGAGACAGTATCCCTGAATCTTGAGCGTTGACGGAGATCAGAACTCCGGATTCTATCTCTCATTTGAGTGAATCATGATATTCCAAGCATAGCTCTTTCAATTCCTCTTTGAGAGACCCGAATAGCGTTCTCATCCTGTTTTCGTAGGGCCCAGGTCTCTGAGGCATATGTTGATGCAGGAAGAACAGTGGAATCGAAGAGATGTGCTCGTAGCTGGAGGTTCTTTGTCCTCTTAGTTATTTCTTCAACGCTCTTGAAGGCATTCCAAGCCACTTTCTTCCTCCTGCGCAACTCAGGTGCCAGGTCGTTCATCATGTTGATTTCTCGACCTAGGTATATATAACTGTTGCATTCGAAGATGGTGGTTCCGTTGAGAGCGAATGGAGCGTCGGGAACGAGGCTGTTTCTCATAAACATTGTCTTCGAAAGATTCAGCTGTAGTCCGACCTTTCCACACTCATGGTCGAAGTCGGTCAGCATTAGTGCCGCTGATGTTTGGTGTTATTAGAACGATGTCATCAGCAAAGCGGAGGTGGTGTAGTTGCCGACCATCTGTCTTCACTCCCATTCTTTCCCATTCCAGTCGTCCCATGATGTTCTTGAGGGTGGCACTTCATGTACTTCGGTACATGAAGCCAAATAAATAATAAAACGCAGTTAAAACCCAGATAAGCATTCTGGAGCGTTCTGGTCTATAATGCTGTGTGCCCCACGTTCTCAACGTGTGAATTTTGTGTGCAACATTTGATAGCGTGTACCCCGCTACCAGCGCCACAGTCGCTGCTGGGCACACATGCGCCCAAACTCGGTATTAGACGCTCCGTTTAAATGAAGTGGGACTTGTTCCCAGCCTCCTTCACTGTTTTAATTAGATCCCTTCCCATAGAATTTACTTTCCCGTTTATGCTGTTTACCTAAAAAGAACATTCCTTTAAAAAAAAAATGCACGTAAAGCAGGAAAATGTGCCGTGGCTCGGGTGAACGCGGGCTCCGCAGGCGCCCGTGCAGGACCAGACCCAGCTAGCAGGCGTTTTCCCGGCGGCCCCGCGGGCACGCGCCCGCACCGAGCCCGAGCCCGGGACGCGGGCGGGCGCGCGCGCAGCTGCTTTACGGCGCGGGCGCGCGCCATTTGCGACAGTGTGACGCCAGCCGGGTTTTTGGCGGGAAAAGCTCTTCCCGGGGCGGCTGCGGGAGGGCTCGGTGGTGGGCGCGCCCGCGGAGCCATGGCCGTGCCCTTCGTGGAGGACTGGGACCTGGTGCAGACACTGGGAGAAGGAGCGTACGGCGAGTGAGTGCAGCCCCGCGGGGCCGAGCCCCTTCCCCGCCGCCCTCGGCCCCCTCGCCCGCAGAGACCGCGCGGCCCCTTCTGCCGGCGCGCCTTGAACCCGTGCACCGCGGCCGCTCTGCTCGGCACGAGCCGCCCCCTCTTCCTGGTCCCCCCGTGTGGTCTCGAGCTCATGCTCTGGCGGGCCCCTTGGAGCCCGAGATGACAACAGTGCGGCTGCCCGGAGTTCTTTAGGGCAGTGACCCCCCGGCCGGGAGGCACTAAGGGATGCACGCTGGGGATGCCCCTGTGCGCAGGGGATGCAGATGCCTGGACTGGCCCGTGGGTACCACGTCCCGAGCGTGGGCGCGCTTGCCGCTGCAGGCGTCCCAAGTGGGGGAGCAGGCTCTGCGGGCGCCCAGCTGGAATTAGTTCCCTGGGTTTCCCCTTGCCGGAGAGAGGGGTCAAGGTCTGGGCGGGGCAGGTGGAAGCGCTTGCTGTTTTTGTTTGTTTTAACGGAAGTGCAAACTCCCGACGCCCGGGATGTGGGGCTCCTCGTTCTCCCCTTTCAGAGTTCAGCTGGCCGTGAACCGAAGGACCGAGGAAGCCGTTGCGGTGAAGATCGTAGACATGAAGCGAGCCGTAGACTGTCCCGAGAATATTAAGAAAGAGATCTGCATCAATAAAATGCTCAATCATGAGAATGTCGTGAAATTCTATGGCCACAGAAGAGAAGGCAACATCCAGTATCTTTTTCTGGAGTACTGTAGTGGGGGAGAGCTTTTTGATAGGATAGGTACGGAAAAAAATTTAAGACGCTTGTTCTACGGAAAGGTTTCTGTATTTGTGGTTTTAATCTTGGTCTGCTGAATGAATGGTCATTGTCCTTTTATAATTATGCGATGGTGAAATTGGACTTTTGGGAGGGGGGGGTGGCTGCTTATGTGAACACAAAAAATAGCATATATAGAGTTACCAAAGAAAAAATTTTCCAGTTTGTGCAGAGGCTTTGGAGGGGGTTGCTGTTCCGTAGAATTTAAGAATGATAAGCCAGGGGCTAGAGCGTAGGTAGGGGTGCTTGTCTTGCATGTGGCTAATTGTCCATCAGGGTTCAATCCTGGACACCAGATGTGGTCTTTCAAGCCACACAAGGAGTGATTTCCTGAGCACAGAGCCAGAAGTAAGCCCTGGGAATCTCTGGGTGTGACCCAAAAACAAACAAACAAAAAGACCGAGATAAACTGTAATCTCATGGTAAAATAGTACAGTGTGTTGTTTGCCTGTGTATTTTTTGAAAGCTAATGTCCTGCCACTTGTAGCTCAAGTGTCCTCCCCAGCCCCCAAAAGCTGATGATTAGAAACTTAAATATGCATCTTTGAATTGAGTGCAGAAGAAATGAGAAAGAGCAGGGAAAGGTTCAAGAAAACATTTTTGTTTGTTTTGGTTTTTAGGTCACACTGATCTAAAAGGGGTTCTCAGGACTTACACCAGGCTCTGCACTCAGGAATCCCTCTGGGGACCTTATATGGTACTGGGCACTGAACCTGGGTCTGCCTCATAAAGCACCCTACTTGTTTTACTGATATTCTGGCCCCAAGAACTTGAATAAAACTTGAAGGAGCTTACCAAGCTTTTGTGCGTTGTGCATGAAGTTTAAATCTAGTTTTCCATACTTTGTGCAGTTTGCTTACTATGGTTACACTATGAATTAAGATTCAGGAGTAGTAGAAATTTTAGTGTAGCATTTACAAGAAATTATGCGACGTTTTGGAGGTTATCTAAATAAATCACAGAATAAGCAAGTGTTTTCATCTTTCTTCATTTGTGTCTTACATTTTTCATTTGATGGTAGTACATTAGTTTTGTGGTGTACTCTGTCATGCTGTTTTTATCCTGTGATTAAATCTTTAGTATCGTGCTTGAAAATTGTTTCACCATAAAACAGATAGGAAAAATGAGTTATTAGGTATTATATGATTTAGTGGGCTCTAGTTTTTCATTGTTATAAAAATCTTGTTTGCTAGATTACAGTCACAGTGTTTAATCTTAGACTTGGGAAGTGTGGCTGATGCGTGATTATATTTATCTGGTTAATTTGCATTTGTAATTGTTTTAGAACCAGATATAGGCATGCCTGAACAAGATGCTCAGCGGTTCTTCCATCAGCTCATGGCAGGGGTGGTAGGTACAATTGTTTCTTATCCTTACTGAAAATTTTTATTTTGGGCACCCTACTTGGCAGTGCTCGGGGGTTACTCCTGGCTCTGCACTCAGGAATTATTCATGGTGGTGCTCGGGACCACATGGCGTGCTGGGGATCGAAACTGGGTTGACCATAGGCAAGGCAGATGCCCTATTCACTGTACTCCGGTCCCACCTTGCTGAAAATTATTATGAATGGAATGAGTAACCAAACTTGGACAAACTTGCAGGCTATCGAATGTAGCCTGCCCACAGGACAGAGTCTGGCAAACTCCCCGTGGCGTACCAAATATGCCAAATACCAGTAACAATGATGGGTCTCATTCTCCTAAAGAGCCTTGAATATAATCTCAGGGCTAGGATGAAAGAGACGTTACTGGGGCCTGCTCGAGGCAATCGACGAATAACAGGATGATGAATGATGAATGAATGAGTAACCAAAATCTGGTATACTTTCCTCTAGGTTTATCTGCATGGTATTGGAATAACTCACAGGGATATTAAGCCTGAAAATCTCTTATTGGATGAGAGGGGTATGTTTAGTATTTTTACTCTATTCTTGTGTTTTTATATTCATCTATACAAGGCAGTGTCACTACTACTTATTACTATTATTAGTTTGTCTTTTTAGGTCAGGGGTTACTCTGGCTCTGCACTCAGAAATTACTCCTGGCGGTGCTCGGGACCATATGGGATGCCGGGGATCAAACCCGGGTCATCCGCATGCAAGGCAAATGTCCTCCTTGCTGTACTCTCGCGGTCCCAGTGTCACTATTATTGCATTGCTAAAATTTTAGGATGGGAAAAATCAAGAAAATTCTAGAGACCAGTGGAGTTGGACTTCAAAAGTCTGTCCTATTAGTTGTGGTATGACAGGAATGTCTGATATAGATGCAGGCTCTGTTCTCCACATGAGTAAAACTCTCTGCTGCTCAAGAGAAGTTCTGTTCGAATGTCTGGGATCTTAGTGGTGTTCTGTGTGTTCTTTTAACTCTATGACCTGAATAAATATGCAAGTGATATAGTTATTTTTGGTGGTTGTAAAACCCGAAAAAGATGGATCATAAAAATTTTAGTGTATAGAATCAACATTGTAAAAAATAGAATCAACATTTAAAAAAATGTTAGCTGGAGTCCAGGAGTGTATTGGTTTTTATGCAGCCAACCCAGATTCTGTCCCCATCACCACAGGTGGTTCACTGAGCACCACCAGGAGTGAACCCTGAGCACAGACCTAGGAGGAAGCCCTTAGCACTGAAAAACTGTAAACAGATGAGGAATAATGTAAAGGCGTGTAGACTACTGCAGTATTTTCTTTGTTTTTTGTCCTTTTTTTGGGGGGACCACTTCCTGTGGTGCTCAGGGCCTACTCCTGGCTCTGCACTCAGGGATCACTCCTGGCAGGGTTTTTGGGACTATTATGGATCACATGTCTCCACGTGCCAGGAAAGCACCCTACCGGCTGTCTCTCCAGCCCCTACTGTAGCACTTTTATAGCGGAGAGACCACAAAGGTGAAACGGCTACAAATCATATAAAAAAGATAACTGAAGGAATCCAGGGGAAACTTGTACATTATTAAATACAGTCTTTCAGAATTTGTGGGGGAGGGGCATTGTTAAAAAAAAAGCATTGTACCAGTTGATACTCTATCTAGGAGAGTCTTTCTTAACTCTTAAGATTAGGTTTGATTTCCTTGTGAAAGGATTATGTGGTGATCTCTATTTTCATGACCTTCACCAGAGTTACCTATTGTTGATCTTCGGCTTTGCAGAGGTAGATGTTCATTAAGTGTTAGTTTAATTGAAAGTCCTTCCTCTGAAGGACTTTGAATTGAAGATGAGAAATTAGTATAGAAGTTTGATTTGTGTTTTATAGTTTCTCCTCCTTTCATCAACCTCTTGACAAGTTCTGGATCTTGAGTTCTTGTATATCATTAGCATACCAGTTGGATTTGTTTGCTGCTGAGAAAGTCAGGCCTGGCCTGTCGTTGATGCTTCAGCCTAACCTCCTGGCCTTCTTCCCAGCCTCCTCCAGTGCGCTCACCTGAGACAGTGTTCGGTGTATTCATGGTTCTCTTAAGCTAAGAGAAGGTTGAGGCCGTTTTCTAGTTGTAGCTAGATGAGACTGTCTCTTATTTTTTCCTTCCTGAAATTTCTCTTTGACCATTTCTCTTGTGTTTTTCCAATAGAACTTAACTTCTTTAAGCATTTACAGAACATTTTTCTCATTTGGTGGAGGGAAATTGACACTCTTGATGGAGCATTGTGTGCCCGGAACTCAGTCATGAGTAGTTTTGTAAATCACAGTGCCTTAATAAATTTACAAAAAGAAAAAAGAAAATATTTTTATTCAGTGTCATTTTTCTCCTTTGGTTTAGATAACCTCAAGATCTCTGACTTTGGCTTGGCAACCGTGTTTCGGCATAATAATCGGGAACGTTTATTGAACAAAATGTGCGGTACTTTACCTTATGTTGCTCCCGAACTTCTAAAGAGGAAAGAATTTCATGCAGAACCAGTTGATGTTTGGTCCTGTGGAATAGTACTTACAGCCATGTTGGCTGGAGGTAAGAGCTGTTTAATCATGGTTAAACTCTATGGAAAATCAGATTTGTTTTGGCAAAATAAGGGAATTCATGTTTATGTTTGATATAAATAGAAGAACAACAAACAGTTTAATTGATTACTTGTTTGTTTGTGGGTTTTAGGCTCTTCCTTGCAGTCCTGGGGTTGCACCTCTCACCTCCCACATGCAGAACAAACCATTTGATTGGTTTTTTTTTTTTTTTTTTTTTGGCTTTTTGGGTCATACCTGGCAATACTCAGGGATTACTCCTGGCTCTGCACTCAGGAAGTACTCCTGGTGGTGCTTGGGGGATTAAACCTGGGTCAGGGATTGATTGAACCTAGGTCAGCTGCATGCAGGGCAAATGTCCTACCCTACCCACTCTGGCCCACACAAACCATTTGAGATTCTTGGTTTCTGAAGGGTTTTTTGTTTGTTTTTGCTAAAACTATGTCTTGCTGGGACTAGAGAGGTAGTACAGGTGTTAAGACACTTGCCTTTTATTCCTGCTTCAAGTTCCAGCACGGCCAGGAATACAGAGCCAAGGTAGTCCCTGAGCATCACTTGGGTGTGGCCTGCCCCCCTTCAAAAAAAAAAAAAACAGAATGAAAGGATGCATATTGCTGACTCAGTGCATGCATTGCAGGCAGGGTGCCTGGATTCAATCTCCAGCATCCTGAGGTCTCCTGAGCACTGAACCAGTAGTAGTTCTTCAGCACCTCTAGGAATGCTGCATGCCTCCCCCCCACTACCACTGACAAATAATAAAAGTGCTATTGCTAGTAACTGAAATATAGAAGCTATTTCTTTTAATATTTGTTTATACACATTTATATGTATACAAGTGGTGGTTTATATGTACCTCAGATTCCAGTGGCTAAGGTGCATGACTAATGTGTGCCTCGCACACCTGGTCCTTGGAACATCGCCAGGTAGAGGTCTGGAAGCCCCCATACCGCTGAGGCAGCCCATGTACACCTGGTGCCATTGGGACCAGGCAGCACGCGTCCTCCTTGCTTGCATCCTGCTTGGCTGACAGGAGCTGGTGAAGCCCCCAGTCCACCTGAGCACCCCTGGAGAACTCCCAATGTCCCTTTTTTTTTTCATTTTCCTGCAAGTTTGCGTTCTTAATTTGAAAAATATCAAGGTAATTTGGAGGAAATTGGATCAGTTTGTATTGTTTCCCCCCCTTACTGTGATTTCTATATAGTGTCATGAATGCTCAAAAACCTCACTTCTTTTTTTTTTTCCAGAATTGCCGTGGGACCAGCCCAGTGACAATTGTCAGGAGTACTCTGACTGGAAAGAAAAAAAAACATACCTCAACCCTTGGAAAAAGATTGATTCTGCTCCTCTAGGTAAACTGGGTTCTCTGTTTTGGCAGACGGCATACACGCAGTTGTGCCTGCACACGGTTGGTTAGGGGGCGCCCTGGGTCCCAGAGGGCAGTGCAGTCTGGATCATCCTTTGCATGAGGGTGGTGCTGGGGTGTGAGTTTGCAGCTTCATGCCTTAAGGCAGCTGCTATAGCAGTGAGCTGTCTGGAGTGTGGATTCCTGTGGTTCAAATCACTTCTTTGGGTATTTTGACCAGTGCTGCTAATACTTTGTTATTAAGTTATGTTACATTTGCATGTTTCGCAGAGGTTACATGATGTGTTTTCCTAAAATGGTAAGTTGCACTTGAAGTGCTATTTTGTGACCTATTGTGTTGCTTTGTTCACATTTCTATTTTGGTAAGGATGTTTGTTTTGTTTTGTTTTGTTCTGTTTTTTTTTGTGGGGAGAGGGTTTGCTGCCCCCACTTCCCCCAAGCAGGACTTAGGGGCTCCTTCTGGGTCTGAACTCAAGGGGTCATTCTTGGGAGTAGGGAGCCATGCTGGGGGGGGGTGCGGGGTTACTCTTGCTCAGGAACTATATGCAGTGCTGGGAGTCTAACTGGATGGGCTGCACACAGGGCAGGCACCTTTGCTATCTCTGCTGTCAGCCCTGCGCACATGCTTTATGGCTGTGTGTGGGTCTGCATCATTGTTTTTAAAGGTTGTCTTGGTACCTATTAACGTGGTTATGCCTCACCTAAACTTAATCAGTTCTTTTTTTTTTTTTTTTTTGCTTTTTGGTCACACCCGGCGATGCTCAGTGCATCAGCTCCTGGCGGTGCTCAGGGGACCATATGGGGTGCTGGGAATCGAACCTGTGTCGGCCATGCTGGCTGCGTGCAAGGCAAACGCCCTACCCGCTGTGCTATGGCTCCAGCCCCCTTAATCAGTTCTTGATGCTGCAGATTTGAATTTTGAAAATCTTCTCACTTCAAGATGATTTGGCACTCATGTAACTGAATCTTTATACATATGTTAAGTAAGAAGTTAATTAATGGGTGCTGTGTGTGGCAGAGGCGGACCCACTGTCGGCCAGGCTAGAGCGAGTGGAGTGGTCAGGCGGGCAGTGCCAGGCCCAGGGCTGGCATCTGCTCGGCTTAGTCTTCATCATGGGTTTTAAATCATTTTTAAATGAGACTTTTAAATTTTAAAACTATTTCATCTTGTAGGTTTAGAAAATTTATATTTATAGTCCTTTACTTATAAAATTGGTTGTAATTTAATAACAATGATGTTATATATCCTTTATATGATAGATTTTTGTTTGTTTTTATGGATTTCCTATTTTGCTCATTTTTGACAGTTTTTCTTATTACTTTGTATAACTTCTTTTTAATTTTTTTCCTTTTTTTAACAATTTAATGTCATCTTTGCATTTTTTTAAGACCTGGCCTTTTATTTTTATTTGTTAGTGCTATTTGGACAGAGAAGTTTTACATTTCTTTTTGTTCAAATTATTGCCCTATGTGGTTTCTGCATATATTGTCACATTAGGAAGGGATCTTTGCGACTTTATTATAGAACTCCTATAGAATTTTTAAAATTCTGTCATTTTTAGGAGAACCCAGTGGTTTTCATTTGTGTTTTTATGACTTGGCTTTGTCTGGGGGTGGGGGTTGGTGTTGTTTTGTTTGTTTGTTTGTTTGTTTGTTTGTTTTGCTTTTTGGGTTACACCCAGCAGTGCTCAGATCACTCCAGGGATGCTCAAGGGTTACTCCTGGGTCTACACTCAGGAATTACTCCTGGCTGTACTTAGGGGGCCATATGGGATGCCGGGGGATTGAACCCAGCCGGTTGTGTGCAAGGCAAATGCTCTACCCGCTGTGCTATCACTCCAGCCCCCGTCTGTGTGGGGTTTTTTTTGTGGTGAGTGGGTCTTGGATTCACACTCAGCTTTGCTCAGGGATCACTCCTATGGGCTCAGGGGACCGTACGTGGTTCTGGGATTGAACTCAGGGCAGTCACATGCGTGTCAAGAGCCTTGTTCTCGATACTATTTTGCTGACTGTAATAACTTTTACATTTAAATATTTGGCCCACTAGAAACTGATTTGGGGGCCAGAGCGATAGAGAGGTATGGCTGTGGGCACCAGGATTGGAATCCTGGTCCTGCTCTTGGTCTTCTGAGCACAGGAACAAATGTCACCCCTGATCATAGAACTTGGGAGCCAAATGTGCCTCCCCCAAATAGAAACTGGTTTTGTTATCCGGTGATGTTAATTATTCATCAAGATAATAAGATTCTTCAGGACGATGGTTGCTTATATTATTATCTCTTAAAAAGTTTCTGGGGTAGGGAGTATTTTTTAAAAAATTATTTCAGGGGCTGGGGATATAACTCCAGGTTCAATCCCCAGCACCTCTCACCTACCCTCCAGCCATCAGAAGCATCAAAGAAAGGTAATTGGAAAATAAATTCTCCTAATAAAATTGTAAATGAGGACTTAATGTGACAGATTAGAACCAAGTTTGATATTCAGAAGGGATAAGGGTGTTTTGCATCTTTCTTGTTAATGTCATGTTTAAAGGCTTTGGGGACACACCCCTGAGATGAATAGTCTGACATGGACAATAGCCGAGAATGCATGACACATTAAGGACATCAGGAGGCCGTGATCGAGTAGCTTTGTTCTTTTTCTTCCCCAGAAATGTTTGGGCAGAAGGAGCCAAGTAAAGCTTGGTTTCTATACCACACATTACAGACTCTCCTTATCTGCAGGATTCTTTTGTTGATGTTGTCTTAATGTTTGTCTTCAGCCTTGCTGCATAAAATCCTAGTGGAGAATCCATCAGTAAGGATCACCATCCCAGACATCAAAAAAGACCGATGGTATAACAAGCCACTCAAGAAAGGTAATATCCTTAAAACACAAAGGTTTGGTTTTCTTTTGTTTCTTCTGTGATGAGGGAAAGTGGTTTTATACACTAATTAATGTGGTACTGGAAATTAGCAAGAATGTATGAGTTTTGAATTAATCATTTGAATTAATCATTTGGAGAAAGACAGTGGAAAAACAGGGCTGAAGGTCCGGGCAAGGCCGGTGGCTTTTATGAGACCTTTTCTTGGTAAAGCTTTTCTGGAGGACCCAGGAGTGCTGTCGAATGTTTTTTCTCATACATTTCATTCTGTGGCTAGACCTTCTTGGGAACACTGTTCTGCTACCTTAAGTGGTACCATTCAAATTAAAGCCTTAGTATCAACACTCTTACCAGTCAGTTTTATGAAATATGTAACTTGAGTAGTGAGTGTGAGTTTTCACTCCATTTCTTGCGAAAATCATGCGGGGAAGAGCCATGATTTGTCTTCAAGGCTTTTTTGTTTTCAGTAGGTGGATTTCCATGTGCTTTTATGCTTCAACTTGCCAGTTGGGTTGGTCTAAAAGGTACATACGCAGAAGACCTGAAAGTCTTGGTATTTATCTTTTCTTTTCCAGGGGCAAAGAGGCCCCGAGTCACTTCGGGTGGCGTATCAGAGTCTCCTGGCGGGCTCTCGAAGCATATTCACTCCAATTTGGACTTCTCTCCATCAAACAGTACTCCCAGGTGAGATTGGTTACTAAAGATCAGCCAGGGGTTCCATATAATATTCTTTGTGGAAATAGCTTCTGAATGATGAATATCATTTTTATTATTATGTAGTTTAATATTACATAATTTTAACTTTAATCTGTGTGAGAGTGATGGTGTGATTTAAGAAAGACCTGGTAGGTTTTATCTAAAGATATGCTTTTCCCATATGTTATGTTGATGCCTCAGTGAGGAAAATGTGAAATACTCCAGTTCCCAGCCAGAACCACGGACAGGCCTTTCCTTATGGGACACCAGCCCCTCCTACATCGATAAACTGGTCCAAGGAATTAGCTTTTCCCAGCCCACATGTCCTGACCACATGCTTCTGAATAGCCAATTACTGGGCACCCCAGGATCTTCACAGGTAAGCTAGTTTGGTATTTCAAAATACTTAAAGCCCTCTTATTTTATTTATTTATTTATTTATTTGCTGGGTGCGTGGGACTACCTGGGCTACACTTAGGGCTTCCTGCTGACTTTGTGCTCAGGTGGGACTTGGGGGTCCATGTGTGGTTTCTAGATTGAATATGGGTCAGCTTTAGTCCTAACATGTTCTTTAAAGGTGTGAATCTTGGAAATCTGGTAGTAACATTTTGATTAAAGTCGATTACTTTGATAAGGAAGAGAGAATTAGAGGAGGCCTTCACAGCTGTGCCGTAACTGCTTTAGGTGAACAACGATTTTTTCAGCTTTCCTCTTCTTTGCTTTATAGAACCCCTGGCAGCGCTTGGTGAAAAGAATGACTCGATTCTTTACCAAATTGGATGCAGATAAATCTTACCAGTGCCTAAAAGAGACTTGTGAGAAATTGGGTTACCAGTGGAAGAAGAGTTGTATGAATCAGGTATGCTTTGTTGACCGGCTTTTGATTGGGGGTTGCCCCCAAGAGAGGGCGGGGGCCACACCTGGCAGTACGCGGCTAGGTCAATGGACCTGCTGACACTGTTCCCCAGTATGCTACTAAAGTTCAAGTTCACTTGTTAAAAGAGTTTTCTCTGCCTTACCTCTGCTTAATCTCATTTCTGTGGCCTTAGGTTACTGTATCAACAACGGATAGGAGAAACAATAAACTGATATTCAAAGTGAATTTGGTAGAAATGGATGAGAAGATCTTAGTTGATTTCCGGCTCTCTAAGGTATGTAGAACAGTGGGGTTTTTGTTTGTTTGTTTTTGTTTTGAGCCACACCCAGCTGTGCCCAGGGCTGATTCCTGGCTCTGCCATGAGAGATCACTCCTGGTGGTTCTGGGGACCATGTGGGATGCCCTGGATGGAACCTGGGTTGGTAGCACCTTACCCACTCTGGCCCCCAGTGAATTTTTTTTCTTACTTTGTTTTTGCCTTTGTTAAAGAGAAGTTTTTAAAAATATTAAAAAAGTATAAAGGAGAAAATAGTCAAGCTTAATCTTAATATCCGGAGAGAACAGATATGCATTTTATCTACTTCATCATGATAGTCCTAATTTGGAAATTCTTACATGAAGATTATTTTTGAAGTGGGAGGGCCCACACCTAGTGGTACTCAGGGGCTACTTTCTCCTGGAGGTGCAGAGAATTTTTATGTTTGTATGTACAACACCTATATACATGTATATACGAACATCAATATACAAAAGTCATATAGCTTAATTTTTTAATTTTATTTTGGGGACAGTTGTAGTTTTTTTGTTTTTTGTTCTTTTTTTTTTTTTAATTTTTGTTTTTGGGCCTTGCCTGGAGATGCTCAGGGGTTCCTCCTGTTTTTGTACTCGGAAACCACTATTAAGATTTTATGGGATGCTGGGGAATCAAACCCAGGTCAGCCACGTGCAGGGCAACCATCCTACCTGATGTAGCTTAATTTTTAAAAACCTAGTCTTCTGAAGCATATATTTGTTGAAATTTTCCTTATGTAATTTTTTTAGTATAAATAAGTCACAAATTAAAAAATTTAAATGATTGTAAATTATATTACCTGGTAGTAACATTTGAAAATTATTGATTTAACATCTTTACATCTTTTTTATAAAAATGATTTGTCAGACTATCTGTACATAATTATGAGCCTTTTCAAAACTGCAAGTGATTCCATATTAATATATTTATACATAGGATTTTGTTTACATTTCTCACTATTTCTTCAGAAATCTTTATGAAATTGTAGTTTCAAAGTTCTCAAAATATAAGTCAAAAATAGTAAAATAAGTTTAAAGCTGGGTCCAAATATTGGAAGAGTAATCCACATTCCATAAAGTGGACTATATACTATAGGACTATTCTCCAGATGCTGGATCAGATAGTTAAGATCCTGATGGAATGCAGTCTCTCTCTTTTTTTTTTTCTTTTTGGGTAACACCCAGCGATGCTCAGGGGTTACTCCTGGCAGTGCTTGGGGGAACCATATGGGATGCCGGGATTAAACCTGGGTCAGGAGAGGTAGATTGCTCCATAGCTGGAAGCCTGCCTCATGAGCAAAGGGGAGAAGGGAGCTGGAATAGAGAAGGGATCACTAAGAAAATGATGGCTTGAGGAACCGGTCGGGATGGGAGATGTGTGCAGAAAGTAGATAAAGGACCAAACATGTTAACCTTTCAGTGTCTGTATTGCAAACCATAATGCCCAAAAGTAGAGAGAGAGTATGGGGAATATTGTCTGCAACGGAGGCGGGGGGGGGGGGGGTTGGAAAGGTGGGTAACTGAGGATATTGGTGGTGGGGAATGTACACTGGTGGAGGGATGGGTGTTTGATCACTGTGTGATTGTAACCCAAACATGAAAGCTTGTAACTATCTCACGGTGACTCAATAAAATTTTTAAAAATAAATAACAAAAAACACAAACCTGGGTCAGGGATTAAACCGGGTCAGCTGCCCGTGCAAAGCAAATGGCCTACACGTGCAAGGCAAACGCCTTACATGCTGTACTATTCATTGCAGAAAGCAGTCTTTCTTATCACTGCACCATTAGGTTTAGTATTACAGTATATTTGTTTTTTTTTGGGGGGGGGGGCCATACCTGGCAATGCTCAAGGCTTACTCCAGGCTCTATGTTCAGGGATCACTCCTGGTGGTGCTTGGAGAACCATCTGGGGTGCCAGGGATCAAACCTGGGTTGGGTGTGTGCAAGATAAGCTCCCTACTCACTACTATCGCCAATACTAGATTTTGGCTTCAGCATAGCTGTGTAGTTGAATCCCCCTAATGCCTTTTGCTTTTGTTTTTGGGGTTACACCCAGCTGTGCTTGGGGATTAGGTATTGCTGGGATGAACCGCCTTAGCTGTGTACCTGTCTTACCTGAAGTCTTACTCTCTGCAGTGGTTTAGCTTTCTTCCAAAGGCAGATAAAGATGTTTGAAACAGGCTCTGAGCCCGGTATAATGAGGATAGTGATGGACTGTCAGAACTGTTTTATATAGTCATTTTTTTCAATGATGCTTGCTTCCAATTTGTCACTAAAAATTGGTTTGCTTTTATGGCGTAGGTTTTGTTTTGTTTGTTTTTACATTATTTTTTGACATTGCTCCTTATATAGGGTGATGGATTGGAATTCAAGAGACATTTCCTGAAGATTAAAGGGAAGCTGAGTGATGTGGTCAGCAGCCAGAAGGTTTGGCTTCCTGCCACGTGATGGAGCCCTTGGCCCTGGGATCTCCTGGTGAATATGGTGCTGCTATGTTGACATGACTCTTCCTGGAGAAGATTCTCCTTGGCTGGGTAGTCGCTGCAGAGTCCCCTCCCCTTGTTAACCGAATACCTTCCAGTCCTGACGTATGTCCTGCGTACAAGTGATAACTACGTCTTCACTCTAAGTAGAACTTCGGGGAAGGGACTAATAGAATTCATCAGATAACTCTTCAACCGGTGTCTAAACTTGAGATCCACCAGATAGAAACTAAGTTTTAAGGGCACAGGAACTCATCAGTTTTTATACCAATATTATGGAAGATGATACATAGCCTTGTACTATTTTTACTGACCTATATTGGTGTCATCAAATGGATGAATTTGTAACGACAATCCTTATGCGTTTGGTATGTTAGGTTCATTAGTCTCTGATGTGAAGCCAACTTTGAAAAACATAGCCTTGGGATTTATACTGACAACTTCAAACTGGGCAGTGACCAGGTATTTAAACACTGTTTTTGAATGACAGCTATTAATTAAAATTGCAGGTAGATATGTTTTTTCCAGTGTAGTTAATTATAAAATGCTGCTTGGTCTTTGAGTAGGAGTTGAGCTTATAAGAGCTAGTGCTTAACTACCTTTTTTTCTAATACTACTGTTGCACACGTATAATATTTTTCTATATTCTACTTTCACAGCCATATTTTAATTTTTTATTGCAGAAATAAATTCTGTTTTGAAAATGAATAGCTAATTCTGTGAACTTATTGGTGACTAAGCTCTTAGATGATAAGGAATAAGGTAATAGGGAGAAGAAGGCTATAAAAGAAATAAATCTGATTACTGATTCTTTTACTTACTAGATTTATAAAGACGTTCTTTTGCATAAAATGTTACTGACTTTTGGATATATTGGCTTGGATTTCTGTATTCCTTTTGGTAGTTCATAAAATTATCTTCTTTGAAGCCAAGAACATATAAGATTTTATGGTTCAAGTTTATTGTATATCATGGGCTGGAGCAATAGCACAGCGGTAGGGCGTTTGCCTTGCATGCAGCAGACTCGGCCGACCTGGGTTTGATTCCTCCGCCCCTCTCGGAGAGCCCGGCAAGCTCCTGAGAGTATGCCGCCCGCACGGCAGAGCCTGGCAAGCTCCCTGTGGTGTATTCGATATGCCAAAAACAGTAACAAGTCTCACAATGGAGACGTTACTGGTGCCTGCTCGAGCAAATCGATGAACCATGGGAGGACAGTGCTACCAGTGCTACTGGTGAAATTGTTACCAAAGTATAGGCAAAGGAGGAATAGGTTTCAGCTAATAGGCAGCTTCTAAGAGTAAAGTCAGTAAATTGCCATGGAGGAAAGGAATGTTCTTGAGAATTGGCAGCCAGCCACTACTTCACTGCTGGCTTTAGTCTCTTCAGTGAGCTTCAGACACTGAGAGCTGCAGCCTTCCTGCTTCCTCCACGAGGCCACTGGTCATGATGACCAGAAATGGCTTTCACCTTTGACCTGTGACCTTCAGCCTCTTCCTCCCTAGCTTCCGTCATCTCAATAACTGTTATGTCAAGCTCCAGTTTCTGAAGCCCAAACTCTTAGGAATCATTGTTGAAATGATTAGCAGTCTACCATCAAGCCAGCGAATCCTCTCCAGCCCAGCCAATACATCAGAAATGTCCCCTCCTCATGCCGGGACAACACCACACTAGCCGGAGGCACCGTGCCGCTCGTGTGGGCTGCGGCGCCTCTCAGTTCAGACGGGCAGTTGGAGTGACCCTCTGAGACGAGAGTCAGGTGCCCGCCCTGCTGTCCATCCCCACGGCTTTTCATCACTCTGGATCGGATGTCTGGATTATCCTCCCTGTGGCTCTGGGGTCTGTCCTCGACCACATGTGTCACTGACTCACCTTGCTGCTGCCCTTCTCACTCTTGTTGGCTGTTCCCTCCACTAGAACACTATTCCTCGTTCCTGAAACTTGTGCTTCCCTTTCTGTCTTTGCCTCTGTGTTGCCTTCTCTGGAAAATCATTCCTTGGCTTACCTAAAATCACACCTTTCTGTCACTGTTCCCTTTTTATTTTTCTTCCTTTTTTTTTTTTTTTGGCTTTTTGGGTCACACCCAGTGATGGTCAGACTAAGGTTCCTTCTGGCTCTGCACTCAGGAATCACTCCTGGCCATGCCTGGGGGACCATATGGGATGCCAGGGATTGAACCCGGGTCGGCCGCATGCAGGGCAAATGCCCTGCCCGTACCGCTCCACCCCCCTTTATTTTTTGTGACATTTTTATACTAAGTCTAATTTTGAGATAATTTTACGTCTATATGTCTGTTTTCCCTGTTTATATATAATGTCAGCCTCTTTGGGTCGAGATCTTGATTTATCCTGTTCAGTTCTGTGTCCCACCCCAGAGCCTCAAACAGCACCTAGAATGTTACAGTATTTAGTAAATAGAACTCAGTGGATCTGGTCTGTCAGAATACATCTGGGAGCTCAGCACCTCTCTTGGTTTTTTTGCTGTCGCCTGAATTTAAGCTCCATCTCTCTCCCAGGTGTCTATTATTAAATCTGTTTTCCCACGTCAACTCTTGCCATTTTCCAGCCTGTTTTCCCTCGGTCTTAATCCTGAGCCACCATTTAAAGGTTAAATAGTGCTCACCCTCCTGTACTCAGAAACCTCCAGCAACCCGGCATCACATATGGTCCCCCAGCCCTCCAGAAAGTGAGCCTGGAGCACAGAGCCAGGTGGAGCAGTGCTGGGTGTGACCCAAACAACCCTATACCCCTCCCCCCACGACAACACCTCCTTTGACTTCTAATGACCAAGACTGGATCTGAACTCTACGCTCTGACTAATCTGTCCCTACAAACACCTGTCCTCTTGGCTTACTATAATTGCGTATCTGCGGAAACCCCTTCAGGGGTTTGTGTGATGGACTTAGCTCTCAGACCTCAGCCCAAAGGCCCCTGTTAAGCCCAATTGTTACCAATCATGTACGAGTTTCTTCCAGAAGTGATCACCACCTGAAATTATTTATTTATTGTCTGTCTCCCCATGAAAATGTAAACTTAGATTTTGTATCCTTGTCACCCTTGTATGTTTTGTATATTGAACATCTGGCAAGTAGTAAGTACTCAATAAATGTATGTCGAATAGATGAATATGTGTCGAAGAAATGAATTAAATATCTGGTAGGGAAAATACCGTGGCATCATGGGCAGATGTAGAAAGAGTAAATGGAAGGTCAGCAGCAGAATATGTGTCTCCTGGTGGGAAAAGTCTGATTCAGGTTAGGACAGACTAGGCCTGTTCTATGGAAACTGAACTGCCTTCACATTAAGAAGACTGATCACAACTATCTTTTAGAGTTGGTGGGTCTTTTGTGTGTGTGTGTGTGCTGGGTGGTGGGGTGGGGGACGACTCCAAAGCAGCGCTCAGAAGACGCAGGGGCCCCACTGGGGCAGGGGTTCATTGCAAGGGCCAAGTATATGATGCTACTCAGGTGGCACTGGGGACCCTCGGGCTACCCTGGCGATGCTGGGGACCTCACCCACAGTGTATCCACAATCAAGATTGTCGGCGATCTCTACAGCCGCACGTGCTTGTGACCGTTTGGTGCTGGGAATCAAACTCAGGTCAAGGGCGTGCAAGGCATGAGCCCTAACCACTGTACTATCTCCGGATCCCAAAGTTGTTTTTAGTCTTAAATGTATTCATTTATATGAAGAGTTTTGTGTACTTTGTTGTACAAAAGGAGAGCTTTTTGTCATACTTTTTTAAAGCAGTGTTGATTGTTAATGCTTTTAGTATCTGGGACTGGAGGGATAGTACAAGAGTTAAGGTGTCTGCCTTAGATGCTGCAGACCCTGGTTTGATCCCTGGTACCATATGTGGTACCAGGCGCAAGCACTGCTGGGAATGTTCCTGAGCACAGAGCCAGGAGTAAGCCCTGAAAACAGCTATGTGTGGCCCCAAAACTCACAACCCGCACTAAAAAAGTAAATTTTGTCAGTGAAAACCTGCAAATTCCACTGTAGAAATGGGGGAGGAGGAATTTATTGTCCAAAGGTATCGTCCTGCAGTCTAGCATCCTGTGACCACAGCTGGCAGAGCTCAGGGGACCAGTTTGTGGGACGTGGGGCCTCAGCCACATGCAAGACAAGCACCTTGGCCTCTCTCTGACTCCCAGCAGCTAAAATTTTGTAGGAAAGTGTGTGTATGTATGCGTGTGTGTACTCAAAGTTTTCTGGAGTGTGCGTGCATGTGCGTGCACTTTTGGTGGGACTTGGGGGACCCTAGGGGATGCTGAGACTCGAACCCAGGTCGGCTGTGTGCGAGGTAAGTGACCTTACCTACCTGCTTACCTTGCTCTGACCCTGAGTTTTTAATTCTTATTTTTCACAGCATGTTTTTGAATGATAATCCAAATAAAGTCCTTTGCAATTGAATGGTGTATTTTCACTTTTTCCTGTTTGGTTTTTGGGCCATCCCTTCTCTTGGGTTACTCTGGCTCTGTGCTCAGGAATCATTCTTAGTTCTTACTTTGGGAACCAGGTGTGGTTAGGGGGATCAAATCTTGGCCAGCTGTATGCCAGGTGAGCACCTTACCTGCTTATCCAGCCTTTGCTTGCTTTTTGGTCTGTAAGTTCTAATATTGTCCCTCCTTTTCCATCTTGCAGTTTATTGGTAGAAGAATCGAGCCAGTTTGCCATACAGGTTTCCTTCAGTCTGGAGCTGCTGATTTGATCAATGTGGTAGGTTTTATTTGTTTCCTCTGTTCTGTGACTTTGTGAATACAAAGTCTTACTCGGGTATTGCACACAAGCATTTTAAAGCATACTTCTCCCTCTAAGTACTGCTTCATGCCACAGTTTTAGCATGTTGTATTTCTGTTATCTGGCTTAAATTTTGGTTCCCCCTCCCCCACAATTCTTCTTTTGTTTTTGTCTTTTTCTTTTTTCTTTTTGGGTCACCCGGCGATGCTCAGGGGACCATATGGGATACTGGGAATCGAACCCAGGTCGGCCGCATGCAAGGCAAACGCCCTACCCACCGTGCTATTGCTCCAGGCCATTTTTGTCTTTGATGACGGAATCAAAACAGATGAAAAAATGCATCTTCCATGCCCAGAGGAATAGCCCAGCGGAACCCCACCCCCGCAAGCCCATGGACATAAGTCTAAAGGCCTGGGACGCTTCGTGTGCCAAGAGTGAGCCTGGCAGCTGTGCCCTTCGGGCCTGAAGTCTCCGTGGGTCCCTGGCACCACACGGGTTCATTCCCGGCCAGGCGTACGTGAGCACCACAGAGAAGTGCAGCCCCGGCCAGTGCTGCTGCTAATAAGGGCACTGTGGCCAGAAGTATGACTCCTGGTGGGCAGCAGCCCCTGGAGAGCACATCAGGCCTCGTAATGGTGCTAAAGCCGGGCATGTGCCACCCTTGGGCACCACAGCTGCAGCAACCACCACGTGAGGGCAGGTGGCGGGGCAGGGGGTTGGGGGGAGGGATAAAACAGAATGGCGGTGGCATCTGTAGGAATCACTTGTTCTTGCCCATTTTGAACCCGTGCTGACTCGGTCCTGGCTTCTCATAGGGCTATATGCTTCCGAGTGGGGTCTCCCTCTCAAGGTGGCTGTTGATGAGTCTGCACCCATGTCCACAGAGCTGTGGACAGGACACTGGTGTTCTGAGGTGGTTTTTTTTTTTTTTTGGTTTTCTTGCCTCCAGCAACTGTGGCTCTGCAGGGGTAGCTGCCAGTTGCAGCCACCAGGTGGCAGTAGCGCCCTGGGAAGTGCCGTTGTCAGCTTGCTTCACAGCTAGAGTGATACCCACTGACTTTACATCTTGGTTCAGGACCTACCTCCCCGGCTTTCACCAACTTGCCCATTTCAACATCACCTACTAGTGTGTGCAGCAGAAAGGAGCCACTGATATGTTTGTTGTTGGATTTTTTATTTTGGTTGGTTTTGTCTTTTTGGGGGCTGCACCGGCAGTGCTCTCATATGGATGACTCCTACTGGGCTTGGGACCATATGGGATTCCGGGGATTGAGCCCAGGTCAGCTGCATTCAAGACAGGCACCTTACTCGTTGTCCTTTCTCCAGCCCTGGAGCCACTGGTCTTTGTACCCAGATCCTTGCCTTCGGTTGTCATGATGGGCAGGGTAACGCATGTTTGGTTTTGGGGCTCACACATGGTGGGCAGGACACTCTTGGTTGTGCTCACATACCCTTGACTGAGGGTCCATCCTGGGCTCAGACACTGGGGCTGGGCTGGACACCAAACTGAGAGAACTTGCTGACTTGATGCTTTACAGGAAGGTGACCCCCATCCTACAAGTAGCCCTTATAAATAATACATTTGTGCTTTTCAGGTTTTTAAAAAAAAATTGGGGCCACCCCCGGCTGTGCTCAGGAGTCACTCCTGATGGGTTCAGGGGAACACATGGGATGCTGGGGATCGGACCTGTGTCATCTGCATGCAAGACAAGCGCCTTCCGTGCTGTATGCCCTGGCTCCCTCCGTGTGTGCTTACATATACATGCTTCTACATATGTGTGATCAACTCAGGTAATAGTCACATTTTCTAGATCTTACCTGCCTATGTAATGAGCTACTGAACAAGAACAAATTCACCATGGTTGCGCATTTCCTCTCGTACTATAGACTTTGCTTTATGTAGTTTGGGGCTGTATTCTTAGGTTGCATATGGTTGCAAACTTGTCACATCTCAGTGAATTAAACCATGTATGTATTTAGCAGTGATCCTCTTTATTTGCTTTTAGAATATTTTTTGGAAGGGGTTCATCCTGCAGTGCCCCAGGATTATTTCTGGCTCTGTGCTCAGGGGTGACCCCTGGCGGTGCTCAGAAGATTTGGACTGGGCAAGTACCTTACTTCCTCTAGTACCTCCGGGTCCACGAGGAACTTTTTACAGATAAAGATGCAGTGGGCTTAGGGGCTGAGAGTAATAGGACTTTACATGCTTTCTTTTGTTAGTGTTCACATAGAATATTTTCAGCTTTTCTATGGAGAATTTTTCTGTCACATATAAGATGTATCTTAAGGGTCATACCCGGATATGCTCAGGGGTTACTCCTGGCTCTACATGCAGAAATTACTGCTGGCGGTCTCGGGTGACCGTATCGGATGCCAGGGATTGAACCCAAGTCAGTCGTGTGCAAGGCAAACACCCTCCCCACTTTACTGTCACTCAGACCCCTCTTAATTATCTTCAGTCAAGTCTGATCATCTGTCTTTGACTGAAGTATGGAATGCACTCAGTGTAGTTACTGATGTTTGGGTTTATTTCTTTTTATTTTGATCCAGATGGGTGTATTTTGGCCTATGGGCCACACCCAGTAATACCTGGGACTATGTCCAGCACAGTGCTTAGAGGAGGGGCTCACTCAGGATGGGAGGGCACATGCTGAGCCCAGATCACGTGGGTTCCTGCATGAGAACACGTGTTCTAGCCCTCTGTGCCGTCTCCTGGCCCCTGCATTTGTATTTTCTCTTTTTTTCTGTCTTGCTCACCATTCTCTTTGAAAGTCTTCATTTCTCCCTTCCTAGTTTGAATGTAACTTCAATATTTGGTGTCGGGGGAGTGAGTCCTTCACCACAATTGGTAATATCTATCTATGTGGGTATATTTATCAGAGTCTGAAGATAATCCCTTAAACTTTCTAGAAAACTAAGGGAAATTAACCCTCTTCTAATGATATACGATTGTGTACTAACATATTGTCATACCGTTATAAATTTTTTAATTCAATTTAATTTTTTGTAAAGTTGTTCACAATAGTTCATTACAGTTAATATTCAAATACCAATCACATCACCGTGCACCTTCCCACTACCATAAAAAGAAAGTGTGTGAAGGTTGTTGTATTTCATCCTGGAGCCATTTAAGCCCTTGTATGAGATTACAAGCATGTATGTTAAATCCAAACAAATGTGTGCTTCTTTTGGTACATCAGTGGGCTAGTATATAAGAGGTCACGTGGCTACGTTCCAGGACATTGTGTCGCTCTCTTCCGGTAGGCTTAATTTCAGTCTCTGGATCTTGGTCATTGATGAGATTATATGGCACCGGGGGCAGTTTCTGGGTGTGACTGCCAAGCTACTGGAAAACCGGGGAGCTGGGGAGAGGAGCCCAGTCCCATACCAAGCGAGCTTGGAGATCTCCGTCATGGGTCCCACATACCTGGGTTTTTCTGCAGGTTCCCTCATGGGTGAGTCTTATCTGAGCCTGTGGAGAGTGACCTTGTACATGGCTGCCATTGGGTTCTGGAGGTTTTCGGCTGCTGGGGCAGGGAGGGAAACTCAACCCACACCGCCCCCGCCCCCCCACCAAGTTGCCCCGGTGAAGACAGCCTGGCCTGGGGTCAGGATGTTCTCGAAGTTTTTAAAAATTTTCCCTTTATTCTCTGGGGGCTGGAGAGATAGCACAGCAGGTAGGGCATTTGCCTTGCACGCGGCTGACCCTGGTTCGATTCCCAGCATCCCATATGGTCCCCTGAGCGCCGCCAGGAGTAACTCCTGAGTGCAGAGCCAGGAGTAACCCCTGTGCATCGCCAGGTGTGACCCAAAAAGCAAAAAAAAAAAAAAAAAAAATTCCCTTTATTCTCGTGATGATGACGCCACCACACACATTTGATTGTGGTGCCGTGGAGCTCAGATGCCCTGTGTGGCAACAAGGACCTAGACGAGTATCACTGATCCTGCCCGGCATGTGGGGTGGTGCTGGGGATGGAGCCTCTGCACTCATGCCTGGAGGCGGCCGTTCTGCCACTGAACTGTCCCCCCAGCCCCTGGATTCTGTATATCCACTCAGTTTCTTTCCATGGTAACAGTAATATAATTATTGTCTCACAAGAATATTAATATTGACAAAGTCAAGAATATTCCCATCAGCACAAGAATCCTTTGTATGAATGTGAGAGTCACTGAGCTTGGGGCCAGAGCAATAGAACAACAAGGAAGGAGCTTGCCTTGCATCCAGCAGCACGCCCAGGCTTGGTTCCTGGCACCCCACGTGGTCCCTCACACCCTGCCAGGAATGATCTCTGAATGGAGAACCAGGAGTAAGCTCTGAGCACTGCTGGTTGTGGCAACCAAAAACCTTAGACTCTATTTTTCAATATATAGAATTTATTAAAGAGCATTCAGAGATGGGGTGAGGGGGACAGGAAAGAGAGAACAGAAAAGAATGTCTCAGAGAAGAAAGATAAGACATTTGAGCAAGATAGAAGAAGAGAGATTTGAGCAGGATGCATTCTTTGTGCGTTCTGTCCGACACAGAGACAGAGGCAGTTGTTGCCTAGGAATCAAAAGTAAATCAAACCCATGGGATTACAGGATTTCTGCTGCTCTAGTCAGGACAAGAAGCAAGGGGTGAGATTCCTAGATCTTGTTGCAGAAAGACTGATTCCGACAACAAATGATTTGCATCCTGGTCCCATGGGAGAAGAGGTTCATGGATGGGCACATGTTCTCGCATCCCTGAACCATGAACTGGAGTTTTCCTCCTGGAAGAAGCAGAGACAGACTGCTATGAGCAGGAACTTCCTCCAGGCTTCCCTTCCCCGTTGGTCCCCACAAAGCTATGACCAAGACCTCCAGTGGGCTTGCGTCCTGCTACCTTCCACCTGCCTCTTCAGAAACCTGCCTTCCCCCCCCCTCCATCCCTCCTCTCAGTTGCTCATGCTATCTAAGGACAAACCACAAGGGGATTCTGTCCCTGGGGCTTCATGGCGTGGTCAGCTGCATCTCGGAGACGAATGAGTCCGAGAGAGAAAGGACTAGAAGTTTTTCTGGCAGCCTATAAATAGAGGCTCCTAGAAAATGGTTTATTAGCTTATTCGGTTTTAACTCAATGTCTACCACAGGGGCTGGACGTTTGCCTTGCACACAGCCCACCCAGCTTCGATCCTTAGCATTCCTGAGCACCTCCAGGAGTGAGTGATTCCTGAGCACAGAGCCCATAACTCCCCTGAGCATCACCAGGTGTGGCCCCCAAAATAAAAACAAACAAACAGACAAATGCCTACCACATAGTGAGCATTGTGTGAAGCTCAAGGAATATCTGTAGCCAGGACCAAGATCAGCATATAGTCCTGACCTTCTAGTCCATTTCTCAGTGATCAAGGAAAAACATTTCTTAGGAAGACTCAGCCGTGTCACTGCCGCCTCCTTTTAAGACATGGTAAGCCTGCTGGGAAGGGCTGTCTCTCCTGCCTTTGATTATTGAAAAGCGAAGTTTCCCCTGAATTAAAGCTCCTGAGGAATTACAGCCTGACCCTCTCCCAAGGCTCCTGGGAGCCCCAGCTGACCCCCATCGGCAATCAAGTTGGTTCATATCAAAGAATGTCCCATCAAGTTCCACATACCTTCATAGATTTTCTTTAACATGCACTGCTGGGAGTTCTGGGTGGTACAAACTCCCTCTCCACGAAGACATTTTTTTTCATCATTCATGTAAGAGCACGTGTGACAATTTAATGGTGGGTCTGAAAATTCAAGAAAAGCCTGGTGAAATTCCCCCAGTAGACCAGGTGTGTGACCTGGAACCATGTCTCAGGAGGGATGAGGGGAGGTTAGCCTAGAGACACATTTTATCTCTTGTTGCCCCCCCCACCCCCCACTAAATTAATCTCTTGGTGAGAAGAGCCACAGGATTGCACTTGTCCTGGGAACCTTTCCTGGACCTAACAAGCATTTGAACATATCACTTTCCCTAATCCAACATATACTGCAAGTGTATGTCCAGCCTTAGTGCCAGGCGTCTCTTTGCAGGCTGTGCGAAAGCATTCTCGGGGCAGTAAGGGCTGAGCACGAGGCTCACAGAGTCACTCTTTCACAAGCCCACTGACAATTTGGGGCATTTGTACTTTCCTGTGTTGGGTGGGATGGAGGGACAGAACTGTATTTGTGTCACCTTTCTGAAAGAAGCCCTCCAAAGTTTGTAGTGTTCAGAGCCACACACAGCCTGATTCCTGTCCCCTAGTGTTACACCCGCCGTCCGAGGACTTCAGACCTGTTTTTTCTACACTTCTTAAGATTGAGTGACTTGCACGTGCTAGGGGAAAAGGGAGCTCAGATAGAGAAGGGAGCACCAAATAAAGGGTGTTGAGAGGATCCTCCCAGGATGGGAGAAGCATGCTGAAAGTAGACTATAGACCAAGCATGATTGCCACTCAATGCCTCTTTTGCAAACCACAACACCCAAAAGGAGAGAGAGAACAAAAGGGAATGCCCTGCCACAGAGGCAGGGTGGGATGGGGGGGATAGGGGGTGGGAGGGATACTGGGACCGGTGGTGGTAGAAAATGGGCACTGGTGAAGGGATGGGTACTTGATCATTGTATAACTGAAACCCAAGCACAAAAATTTGTAAGTCTACAACTGTACCTCATGGTGTTTCACTAATAAAAATTTTAAAATAAAATTAAATTAAAAAAAGAAAGATTGAGTGACTTGGAGTCGGGTGGAGTGCTATCCTGGTCACCATGTAGGTGTCAGTGTGACCCTCGGAGCACTGCTGGGTCAGGCTGGGGGCTCCCAGCAACAAACTGCCAGGCTTTGCCCCATTGGCCAAGAATCACCAAGAGTGGCCCCCGGGTCCCCTGAACACCATGTAGGAGGACATACCCCATGCCCCTGCCAACTAAGGCCATGTGTTACCTGCTCCCCACCTGATGGGGACATGCACACTTGGCCCCCCAACATGACTCACTTGTCACTGTGGTTGTGGAAGTGACGGAAGGCTGTTCACCAGAAACCTTTTCACCTGAGGATGACTGTTCACTTGAAGACTTTTCATTTGATGGCTGTTCACTTGAAGACTTTTCTGACAGAGACTTGTCTCCCGAGGGCTGGTCACTGGAAGACGTGTCGCTTGAGGATTGCTCACTCATGGACTGTTCACTGGGAGACTCGCTCGAAGTCTTCTCATTCAACTGTTCAGCGGGAGAGTCGCTGGAAGTCTGTTCGCCTGTCACACGCTCACCTGAAGAGTGTTCGGCGACCGTGTGCTCGCCAGAAGTGTGTTCATTCACAGAGCGCTCACTCGGCGTGTGTTCAACCACAGCACGCACCCCCGAAGTGTGTTCCACGACAGTGTGCTCATTTAAAGTGTTCTTGCTTGCGGAAGTCTCATACAAAGCCTCAGCATCTGAAAGCACATCTTCCTGTGAGTTGTGCTTACCTGAAAGTAAAACAGTGAACGATGAGCCGTGGAGCCAGGAAGTCCCTCCGACTGACCGGGACTGGGACGCCGGGGAGGAGTGGACAGAGCAGAGGCCGGAGAAAGCGCGTGCACCAGAGGTAACCCAAAGGGCTGAGGCTCTGATACTGGTAGTTGCTTCTGGTTCACACCAGTGTCTATCAGTACACGAGAGCTAAGGATGACTTTTTTTTTTCTGAAGTAAAAACATATTTTATTTGGAGGCTTTTTGAGAAAGGGCAGAAGATAGGCAGGGGAAAGAGAGACAGACAGACAGAGAGAGAGCAGAGAGAGCCCAAATATCTTAATAAACTCTCCTTATAATGCAGAGGACGAAAAAAGGTTCCATTTGGGTTGCAGTTCATGCCATATTATTAACCATATGGTTCAGTTAATTAGAGGCTGTAGCCAGGCTTCTGGGCACCAGTGAAGGGGATAAGAAGGCATAGCTTTCAATCTCTCCATTTCATTCTGGATTTATTTTTCAAGCTTGAAAGAAGCTGAGTACAGTCTTCTGGACTAGAATTTTTCTTTACTTTATGTTGCATTTTCTCCGCACCATGACTTTTATTTAATTTGGTTTTGGAGGCACACTCTGAGGTGCTCAGGGCTACCCCTGGCTTAGTGCTCAGGGATCACTCCTGGGTATCTTATGTAGTATCCGGGATCCAACCCAGGTCTGTCATGTGCAAGCCAAGCACTGCTATCTCCAACGGCCCATGGCTTAAAATTTTTTGAATGGTGGCACCAAACAATTTGATTACTCTTTGATTAGACTCTGCAACTAATCTGAAAGATTAGATTAGGGTCAGAGTCATAGTACAGCCAGTAGGGTGTTTGCCTTGCACACAGCCAACCTGGGTTCGATCCCTGGCATCCCATATGATCCCCCAAGCTCAGCCAGGTGTGATTCCTGAGTTCAGAACCAGGAGGAACACCTGAGTATCACCAGGGTATGACCCAAAAATTCAACATATATATATACATATATATACATATATATATATATATATATTAGAAGGAAAGGAGGCTATAAGGACTACATTAATGAATCCTAGCAGGGATCTGAGCAGAAGATTGAGGGGCCCTACAGCCTCACAGAATCCTCTAAGAATCTTGCAACAGAATATATTCTAGGTGCTTTAGCATCAGTGTCTAAAAGGTGAAGAGCGTTAGACTAGATTGACATCAAAGCTAAGATTTTTTGTTAGACTTTCAGAATGTTTTTTAAAAAAGTGTTGGGGCCAGAGCGATAACACAGAGGGGAGGGCATTTGCCTTGTATTCTAACCAACCTGGGTTCGATCCCCAGCATCCCATATGGTCCCCGAAGCACCACAAGGAGTGACCCCTCAGCATTGCAGGCTGTGCCCCAAAGACTTAAACAAAATTGTTACCACAAAGTTGTTATAGAAATAACTCCTTGACAGTTGACAGAAGCTTTAGTGCAGGATTTTCCTGCTACAGAAAGGAAACTGGGGAAAGTCCCCTCATTTCTGGTTCCTCTGCAGTTCGGGCTCTGCCTGTCTTGCTCCCTGCCACCTGGGCGCTGGATGGCTCCCTCCCAGAGTCAGCTCTGGGGTTGCTTTCACTGGGGGCTTCCTGGGCCGTGCTGAGGGCTCCTCACAGGTTTGCTCAGGGATTGCTCCCGGTGGATAATGTGGGGCCGGGGATCAAACCAGGGCTCTCGCACACAAAGCCTGTGCCACGTGCCATCTGCCCGGCCAGAGTCAGACTGTGACAAGTCCAAGAAAGCAAAACTAATCTCTGAGGATGATGATGTGATGATCATTCTTTTGGTTTGGGGGCCACTCCTGGTGATGCTCGGGGCTTACTCCTGGCTCTGCACTCAGGGATCCCTCCTGGCGAGCTCGGGTGACCAGAGGGGATACCGGGAATCCAACCTGCGTCAGCCGCATGCCAAGCAAGCTCCCTAGCTGCCCGACTCTCTCCTTGTCCCCTCTGATTATTTCTGAAAGAATTATTTCTGTGGACTGGAGTGATAGCACAACAGGAAGGGCATTCACCCTGCATGCGGCCAACCAGGGTTCGATTCCCAGCATCCCATATGGTTCCCAAGCACTGCCAGGACTAATTCCTGAGTGTGGAGCTAAGAGTAAGCCCTGTACATTGCTGGGTGTGATCCCAAAAAGAAAAAAAAAGGAGTTATTTCTGTTACTTTTTAAAGACCTGTCCCCTGGGTCTGGCATCTTGAGCTCGGAGCTGCTGTCCTGTGGGAGGAAGAAGTGAACATAACCTTCCAGTAATGGGGCGCTAGAGGCCTGTGGCTGTCTCTCCCCTGACCCAATTCCCCTTTGTGCTCTGGGCTTTCTCGACACCCCATGTTCCCCTCTCCTTATGGCTCTCCTTGCCTGTCAACGACACGGGGTCCTTCGTACTCAGACCTTTGACAACTCTTTATTGAACTTCCACAGACCCCCTGACAGCTTCAGACTTACACATGTGTGTGGCTGAGAGGAGAAACACCACTGTACCATCCCCATTAGCTGGTCGGGAAGGCTGGGACTACAGGAAGGTGGGGGAGGAGGAGGGGGCCTGAGTCTGAGCCGAGGGCAACTAAGATACTGAACTAATTTCATCAAGGGCTGAGACACCCCCAGAGCCGAGAATAAGGACTCACCGCTGGCAGATCCAAGCCAGAAAAGACTCATTAGTAACAGAAACGACTTCATTTTCATTTGGAGAAATGGGGTACCCTGGGGTGGGGCACCCCAGAGCCGTGAGGAGATACTGAGCGGAGGCTCCCAGTGCTGCGTGAGAGTTCTGCGGGAGTTCTAGAACCCTAGGAAGAAACAGGATTCCCTCACAATGTGTCTGCTTGGAGGTTCTCATTGAGCGGGTCGGGCCTGCCGACGCTGGCGCTGCCTGTGACAAACCGTGTTGAGAAGGTCGCATTGCCCCTGGACGTGTCAGGAGCATGTCTGGGCTGTCAGCTTGACTTGAAGGAGAAAAAATATGGGGTCAGGGAGTAGGCTCAAAAGACCAGAGTGTATGCTTGGCCTGAAGGCCTTGGTGTCCCAGCTTCCCACGGCCCCCTCATCGCCGTGGGTGGGGCTGGGGGATCAGGACACTTCATGGGAGACTTGCACCCCCACCTCCCCCCCAAATTCTCACTGCCCACATGACCTGTGCTCTTTGTAATAGGATTTTCAAAATTATCTGCTCTATAAACTATTCCTTTTTTTTCTAATATTTTTTCTTTTTTGGGTCACACCCGGCAATGCTCAGGGGTTACTCCTGGCTCTGCATTCAGGAATTACTCCTGGTGGTGCTTGGGGGACCCTATGGGATGCCGGGGATTGAACCTGGGTCATTCAGGAATCACTCCTGGTAGTGCTTGGGGGGACCCTATGGGATGCCAGGGATTGAACCTGGGTCAGCCTCGTGCAAGGCAAACGCCCTGCAAAGTATTCTTTTTTTTTTCTTTTTGGGTCACACCTGGCTATGCTCAGGGGTTACTCCTGGCTCTGCACTCAGAAATTACTCCTGGCGGTGCTCAGAGGACCATATGGGATGCCGGGAATTGAACCCAGGTCGGCCACGTGCAAGGCAAACGCTGTGCTATCTCTCCAGCTCCCCTACCAAAGTATTCTTGATAGGGAAGTGTGTTGACCTGAAAAGGAGAGAGAGGGAGGAAGAGAGAGAAAGAGAGAGAGAGGGAAAGACAGAAAGGGGGGGAGGGAGGGAGGGAGGGAGGGAGGGAGGGAGGGAGGGAGGGAGGGAGGGAGAGGGAGAAGCCTTTGGCCTTTGACACAGAGGAATGGGGTTGACAGGGAGGCTGGTGGCTCTCTCTGCCCTGGGCTGGAAGCTCTGCCTTCTGACAGAGGGATGCCAGGCTGAAAAGGACACAGTCAGGCACGCACTGGCACAGGGCAGCGTGCAGGAGTTGGGCGGTGGTCGACCCCGGCTTTCCTTCTCCCGTTACCTCTCTTGCTTCACTGTGTTACCATGAGTGGGTCTTGGCTCGGAAAATGCTTGGTTTAACGTTTTCTCTCCATTAGACTCCCGGCCCTGTCATCTATCCCCGTCAAGACCCCTGTCAGACCCCCGGTGTCTAGCAGGGCCTGGCCGACTGTTCCCCAAGGGAGGTATGAATCCATTTCCCTTACCGGGACTCTCTCTTCAGGAGGAGGAATGTCTAGAGTGGACTGGTCGAAGATACTGGTCAGGGGTACCCCAGCTCTCATGGCAAAAGGAGGCTGCCCGATTTTGCTTGAGCGGAGGACATAAGCAGGGCTTCCTGGCCTGAGGCAGAGGCAGGAAAGAGCAGGGCATGCTGATAGTTGCTCCTCTTCCTCATGGGAGTCAGCTTCAGGGAGCTCTGTGGTCACGTAAGGTGCCACCTGTGGGACATGAGGGTTTTTTTTTAACCAGAAGAGCAGAAATGGGTGGAAAGGGCGAGGTGCTCTCTTTCCCTCTTCCCAGTGTTCAGGGCCAGGTGCTTTCCTTGTGCATGTCAGAACCTTCTAGGCCACACCTGCCTTCCCTTCCTCAAGAGGCAAACTTTGCTCATCTTCCATGGAAGCAAGGCCACTACTGTTCCCTTTTTCTATTCCTGGTTTCTTAATGTTTATTATACCAGCTGTCTTTTTTTTGTTTTGTTTTGTTTTGCTTTTTGGGTCACATCCAGTGATGCTCAGGGGTTACTCCTGACTCTGCATTCAGGAATCACTCCTGCCTGACAGTGCTTGGGGGACCCTATGGGATGCCAGGGATCAAACCCGGGTCGGCCGTGTGCAAGGCAAATGCCCTCCCCACTGTACTATTGTCCTGGCTCCCACCAGCTGACTTTCTAATCACAAAGACAAAGCCTGCACATTCCCTCCTTGAATCTCAATCCCAATTTCTGCTCCCTCTGTTCTTAATGCTCCCTTTAGAGGAACATGTCCCAGTACCACTGGGGCTGGCTTTCCTGGGCTCTGCTTTGCAAACCTCCCTCTGTCCAGAAGCCTGGCGCCCCCAGAGTCACACCTGTGAGTATCTGGGCACCAGATACATGAAAATGTGGCGGGGACGGGGTGGGGGCAGAGAGAGAGAGAGAGAGCTAATAAAAATGAAAAAATAAAAGAAAAACTACTCAAGAGCTGTAAAAATAAAAGAGAGAGAGAGAGAGAGAGAGAGAGAGAGAGTCTGATGGGCAGGGCGCTTACTTTGCATGCTGCCAAGCTGGGGTAGAACCCCAAAACAAGGGGAAGAAAAAAGCAAACAAACAAAACCTTGGGGATGGGACTTGGAACTTGAAGAGTTCTGGGGCCAAGACATCTGCAGCTTTTCCAGCCTGCTGCCTTCTTTTGTCCACCTTCCGTGGAAGCAAGCCGTACTGTTCCCATTTTCCATTCCTGGTTTCCGAACGTCTGTTACACCAGCTGACTTTCTAATCAGGAGCCGGGGATCGAACTGGGTCTCGTGCATTGTAGACACGTGCCTCTCCCACCTCCCCAGCCGCACCAGCTTAAGGAGGCCCGTGCCCGCCCAGCGCCACGCTGCCCCGGACTTCTCCCGGATGTGCGTCTCTGTCTGCCCCTGAAGTGTGCTGTCAGCTCTCTCCTCAGGTTCCAGTTTAGCTCTTGAGACACTCTCAGTGGTTTGACCTCTCACACTCCTTCCCTTTTGCACACTCTCAATATCAGGCTACATTTTTTTTTTTAAAGTAATGCCGTGGTGCTCAAAGCTTAGTTCTGGCTGTGCTCAGGGATCACTTCCGATCACTCCTGACAGAGCTCAGGGGCCTCTCTGCAAGGCCAGCACCCCACCTGCTGCCCTCTTTCTCCGGTCCCCAGGCTACTTTGCATATTTTGGGGGCCAGAACTGAAAAAACTCAGGGCTTCCTCCTGGCTCTGCTCTCAGGACTCACTCCTGGCATTGCTTGGAGGACCATCAGGGATGCCGGGGCTCAAACCTGGGTCAGCCACTTACAAGGCAAGCACCCACCTTCCGTCCTATGCTCCCACTCACTCTGGCCACTTCTTTTTTTTTTGGGGGGGTCACACTTGGCGATGCACATGGGTTACTCCGGGCTCATGCACTCAGGAATTACTCCTGGCGGTGCTAGGGGGACCATATGGGATGCTGGGAATCGAACCCGGGTCGGCTGTGTGGAAGGTAAATGCCCTACCCACTGTGCAATCGTTCCAGCCCCCCCCCCCCCCCGCCCGCCACCACTTCTTAATCCAGGTCTACATTAATACCTAGCAAGGTTTTTAATGTTAAGAAACCCAGAAAAGGACCAGAGCTATAGTATTGCGGGTAGGGCATTAGCCTTGCATGCGGCTGACCTGGGTTCGATCCCCGGCATCCCATACGGTTCCCCCAAGCACCGCCAGTAATTTTTTCGGGGGGTCATTACCAGTGTTGCACAGGGGTTACTCAGGCTCATGAACTCCAGTTGAAATGTGGTATGCTGGGGATTGAACCCAGGTCGGCCGCATGCAAGGCAAATGCCCTACCTGCTGTGCTATCGCTTCTGCCCCAGGAGTAATTCTTGAGTGCAGAGCCAGGAATAACCCCTGAGCGTTGCTGGGTGTGACCCAAAAAGCAAAAAGAAAAGAAAAAAAAGGAGGAAAGAAAGAAATAAAGAAAGAAAGAAAGAAAGAAAGAAAGAAAGAAAGAAAGAAAGAAACCCAGAAAGTAATCCCAAAGAAAAGAAACAAGTACTTCTTGCATCCTCGTGTTGGAGAGAAGGGAGCTCTCCCTCCTTGCCTGCTTGTGTCCCATCAATTTATATCTGACTGGTGACTCAGTTTACTGACTCCATCCCACTAACAACCTCTGTTTATGGCCTTATTTTCTCTCCCTGGCGCAAAACACTTCCTCCTCGGATTCTGCATTCCTCCTTGACTACTTCTGTCTTCTTCAGCAGAGCTTCCTTTTTGTTGGAACTGAACCTGAGCCCCGGCAGATGGCTTGAAAGGCCAGGCACATTCTTTGCACACAGGCCTCTGGCTTCCATCCCTGCCACTGCATGCTCCCCCGGTCACCATTAGGAGTAGCCCTCAAATCCTGTTGTGAGTGGACACTGACCACCACTGGGTATGACCCCAGAAACTGACTCCTGAGCAGGGAGATGCTCAGAGTACTTGAGGGCTTTGCATGTGGGAGCTCCGGGGTTAACCCCTGCTCCCACCTGCTCCTCAGAGCCCTGAGCTTGGACTATCTCCTGAGCACTGCGGGGTAGGGCTGCCCTGAAAAAGCTAAGTCCTGAAACTGCGAATAGGGTCAGGCATAGTGCACATTCCCTGGCAAATGAGAGACATCAGTGATTATAAAATAGAGCCTCCAGATATCTGGAACCCAGAAACAGATAAACTGCATATTAGGTATGAACAAGTATAACACCAGGGATGGAAATGTAAGGGTGCATTGGGATGCAATGCAGGCATAGTGCAGGGTGTGAAACATCTCTCCCCTGCTTTTCCCTGTGATAACCGGGGTCACACATGATGAGGTGTGGCACAGCCATATGTGTTTACAGGGTAAGCACTGTGTGTCTTGGTTGCTGGGCTCACACACACACACACACACACACACACACACGCACGCACGCACGCACGCACGCACACACTTGGTTCTGGTTGTGTGGGAGATTAATCTCTTTGTATCGGGTGCTCAATGCTCCTGATAGCAGAATGCTGGGAAGGCGTGTAGCGGTTTCTGGGATAAGAACCCAGGGCCT